CATGACCTTTAGCCTGGTTTGTTCCTTTTTGCACACCACACATAGAATAATTAAAGTGGTAGTGAACCACCACCCCCAATTCTGTGTTGGCTGTCTCTAGCAAGCATGTGATTGCTAGCACCACTCTGGAAGCCACTAATGATCCTCTGCAAGCTAGCAAAAATTTAATGCAACTTGCTAGGCACGTTGGACACCTTACTACTCCCTATACCACACCATGGCTGGAGTGCAATGTATTCCAGCAAAAATAGTGCACATCTTTATCAAATTTGGTGCATCCTGCTAGTTCGGTACTCAGCCTGTGTAGATTCAATAATATTTTTAATTCAAATAATGTATGATTTCCTTCCTTTCGAATCAAGGGGGTAATGTCGATGTATATAAATTTTGGGGGGGGGGGGAAAAGGTAAAAAAAGTTTTCTGACCCCTATCCTAGACTCTCCTTCGATCCTCATTTCAAAAAGGGGATCCCGGACCAGACGGTTCCAGTTTTTCCAGAGAGAGCTCTTCTCTGGTGCTACTGGCAGCACCACAACAAAGCCCCGCCTGATGTTTACTATGGCTTTCAAGGTAAGTGAGATATTTAAGGAGTTACCACTTCCACTCCTCCAGTGAGTTCCATGGTTAAGTGGAGATACAAACCCAGGTCTCCAGAGTCCTAGTCCATCACTCTATCCACTACACCATACTGGGAATCAAATTCACTGTCTAGCTACTAGAATACCATGATTTTGAAACAGAAGAAACTCTCGTGTCACAGAACACAGCACAAATTTCTACATTAATATGGATAACCATTTTCTGAACAGAATAAGGATTTTCAAGGACTTTTGTATGCTGCTGCTCTAGTTTGATCGACAAATATATTTACCAATGAGCACCTCTAATGATCACCTTCATTCATTATTCTTCCTTGTGCAACAGGTTCTAATGAGCAATACTGAGGCAAGATAACCTAAGACACCCTTGCAGTAAACCACAACTTACCTAAAGACTACATACTCCAGGAAAATGCTTGATATATAACTACTACAGGGATATTCCTGTATGGAGATAACGCACGTCTGTGGATAAATAGCCTAGTTAAAGAATGTTATTAAATTTGATCTAAATTCTTAGCCATTTGCAGCTTAAACATTACGTGAACGATGGTTGTTGTGGGTTTTTTTGGGCGGTTTGGCCGTGTTCTGGAGGTTTTTCTTCCTAAAGTTTCACCAGAGCCTGTGGCCGGCATCTTCAAAGGACAGGAGCTAGAACTCTGTGTTCTGGTGTAGTGTGTGGGACTGCTGAGTATTTGTAGCTGTGGGATCAGCTTTTTGTGGGTGATTATGGTGATCACGGTGTTTTTTGTTATGGGTGTTTTGTTGTGATAAGGGGGAGATTATCTGTCACTTTGATTGATGGGTGTCATTAGCTAGTCTTTTGTGTGCAGTGATAACCGGTCCTTGTGGCTCCCTAGTTAATGTAACTTTTTGCAGGCTGATAACCTCCCCTCTTATCACCAAAAAAACACCCTGATCAGAAGAAACACCCAATCTCCTGAAAATAACAAAAATCTGATCCCGCAGATACAAATACTCAGCACTCACACACACTACACCAGAACACAGAGTTCTATTCCTGTCCTCTGAAAATGCCAGCCACAAAGACTGGTGAAAGGTTAGGGGAAAAAACCTCCAGAACACAGTCAAACAGCCTGAAAAAACAAAAAACAACCATCGGAGCCTGGCTGTGAAAGCCTTCAAGAACACATTATGTGAACTGTTGCAGCTTAAGCATTATGTGAACTGGTTTGATAGAAAAAGAAAATAAAAAAATTGAATGCTCAAAAAGGGAACAGCAGGTGACAGCAAATAAAAGATTTTGTACATTTTGTGACCAACCTCCATGACACCCCTCTCTCCAAATTATAGCTAAAGGCCACTTAATGCATTGGTTAATGGCCATAGGAATACACCGACAGCTTCATGGATGTTTACTGAAATGATCATGTTTAAATGAAGTTAACTCCTTCTAAGTTTATACTATAGGATTTCACTTCGAGTTTATAAATGACTACTGATGTGCAATATGTTAAAGGTAGATGGTTACTTAAACTGTAGTACTGCCTGACTCTTTCCCACAGCGAAAGTGAACTGCCTTTCTGATGAGTCCATGAAGTGCTGAAGAATGAGTCAAGGTGTTCTGCAAAGATCTTCATAGCAGCAGGTAGTCTTAGAAACCCAATTAACCTTTTGTATTACCTCAGATCCACTCATCTTCACTTGAACATCCGCAGTGCCGGTTACGTACTCAAAACTCACTGAGCCAATCCACGTGGGTCGATTCCCCACAGGATCCCAGTCCTACAACCACCCCTTCCTCCAGATAAGCCTCACAGTCATAACGCAACTTTTCCAGCTCAAGCATCTCCGTTCCAACAATGGGTTCCTTCCCACCTATATTGATATTTCATTTCCCACCCACGCCAGGCAGGACAGCAGCCGCCGTGAAGGGCAGCAATTCGACAGGCGGAGGATATCCTGTCATAACTTCCGTTCCCTGCGGAGTCACCTGTTGAGTATCTGCCTGCTAGAAAGCGGCCACGAGGGACCTGACAGGAAAGAGGACCTTCAAGCCACCACTCCAAATTCACACTTGCCAACACCACGACACACACACACACACACGCACACACCGTTTCAGCCGACTAACGAGAAGAGGCCCTGGCAGGAACGCTAATTCACCGCCCGCCCGTCGATAACGGTCGACGAGCCTCAACCCGTCCCGCTCCAATACCTGAAGAAGGCGGAAGCGGCGACGACAGGCGCTTCTCCTCGTCGCTTTCTGCCCCTCCAAGGCAACCGTGGCCGCTGCCGCCGCCGCTGCTTCCTAAGCCCTCGGCCGCTGAAGCTTCCACCCGGCTACCAACGGCCGCGGCCAGCACGTCCGACATGGGAAGTGGGAGGAACCGAGCCGAGAGAACAGCCGGAGAGAGTCGAGCCGAAACGAAAACAATCGGAAAGAGCCGAAAGGCGATCGCGCTGGTAGCCGCGCAACTCCCTCCGACCACCCCCTCCCCCGCCCTGAAGAATTCCCGCCTAAAGCTGGCCGCAAACGAGGGCGACCGTCTTCGTCGGGCTGCGACAGAGCCTTTCCTGAGGGGCGAGAGCGGAACGGGGAAAAGAAAGACGGCTACACTTCCCGGAAGTGTTGGTCTCCGTGGCAACCGCGAAAAGAAGGACGCGTTGCCATAGCAACGCGGCCCTTGGGCAAACACCGAGATCCTCCTCCGCCAACGGTTTCTGTGAAGATGGAGGACAGCTCGAAGGAGAACGTGGAAGTGGAGGATGATGATGAGGACGACGACGACGACGACGAGAAGGAGGAGGAGGAAGAAGAGGAAGAGGACGAAGAAGAAGATGAGGACGAAGACGACGAGGACAGAGAGACTCCCCGACGGCGGCGGCGGCGGCGCCGCCAGCTACTCCGCCCCGAGTCTCGAAGCCGCGCGAAACTAGGCTCCGGAGCGTCTCTTGCCTCCCAAAAGACACTCGGATCTGAGATACTACTCGAGGTCGAGGTCGAAACTCCCGCCCTCAGGGGCCGTCCGTATTTAGCGTGGTCTCCCGAGGAAGTGGCAGAATGGATCGAGGCGTTGGGTTTCCCTCAATACAAGGTAAAGGAGGAAGGAGCGATTCCTCTTGCATGGGAAGAAGAGGGTGCTAGTCATTCAAGATGGACCCCAGACTGTATAGATATAACTCAGAGACGGAGTATCGTGGGCATATGGAGAGTGCGCTTCCCTTACGCAAAGGCGCTAAACACCATACAGTATATTACTGACTGAAGACAGTAGTCTACTAGCTAGTGTCTAAATTTTAGCCAGTAGTAAGCAGTCAAGATCCAGACCATTGTTACATGTTTTTGTCAAGAGTAGGGAGTCTCTTTCTGCCCAAAGCTAAATTAAATTGCTGAGAAGTGCTCAGGAGGCACTTCCCAAAGATGGAGATTCACTGTCAAGTCGGACTTCAGTTGCACCAGCGACTTGCGACTGGGAAGCCAACCATTCCCTCCCTCTTTTGGGGGAAGCTTGTTTTTAATAGGGAGTCAGACATCAGGTTGGGATTCAGTACTTGGTACCAAAGACTCATATTTGGTACTTGGTACCAAAGACATGGACTTGGGACTGAGACCCAAAACCTTGCCAATGTCCTAGGCACTTCCCAGTACGAAAGGATGGACTGAACATATCTGCCTATTTTCATGTAAAGGTCTCCCTGGCAGGCATTAAACTTTGTTATGTTAGGTGCCATCAAGCTACTTCCACCTTACGGTGATCCTAATTGAATTTTCAAGGTATGCAAGATGTTCCTGGAGTGATTTACCACTGTCACCAGCTAGAGAGTTTCCATAAGTGAGCAGGGATTTAACTCCAAGTCTCTTGAATTGGAGCCAAGATGGAATAGCAAAGAAAAAAAAGAGATTTAACTTCAAGTCTCTTGAGTTGGAGCTGATATTCAGTTTGCCAACATACTTGTTCCCCAATTATGCTGTAGAAGCAGCATTTTGACATTTTAAGATGGATGGAAGAAACTGTATGTAAAAGCTGGGAAACCACTAAATAGGGAAGTCATGTGAAAGGGAAGCCCAGGAGGTGGGATTGGAACCATCAGAGGACTGGATATTTCCATTTCTGATGTAGCTAGGTAGGGCTGTGAAGCTAAGGTTGTCTGCTCCTGTTTTGTGAAGTGCTAGACTATTAGCAACATAAAAAGCAAGTTCTTGCTTAGCTGTCATAGTCTCTATGTGCTTCTGTGGGGAGATAATCAAGAGGTAGAGTCAGCTTCAGCCCTGGGAATGTTTGATCTTCTTTATATGTGGCTGTGTAAATTTAAGTTAGGCAAAGGAGGGGAAGCAATATTTTGTCATTTCCCACTATTGAGTATTTCCTGTTTTGTTTTAAGTAGGAGTGCTTTACTGCAAATTTTATCTCTGGCCGCAAACTCATCCATGTAAATTGTTCAAATCTACCACAGATTGGGATAACAGACTTTGAACATATGAAGGTGAGAACATGTATCTTAATTGTATCTTTCTTCTAGTAAGAGGACTTAGGTTATTGTTATGGGTTAGTCCAAGTCCGAACCAGGGTATAAAATGTAATCTCTAGTACAGTGGTACCTCAATTTACGAACTTAATCCATCCCAGAAGATGTTAGTAAGTCAAAATGTCCGTAGGTAGGGGCGTTCGTAAGTCGAGGCACCACTGTACATGCTCTGGCTGAGATCTTCTTCCATAAGCTGTGCCACATAAGGCTAGTGATGTCATCAATTGTGACTTTTTTTCAGAAATAAAACATTTCCCATTCTCCCCCAAAGTACCCAAGCCTTGGAATCCTTTTCATTGTGGGGAGACCACTGGGGGCTATGGAACAGGGTATAAATCTTTAACTTCTGAAAACTGCTGCTCCTGCTAAAGGCACTCCAGTAGTGATTTTTGGCAGTTAGGGACTTTTTCACATCCCATAGTCTTCAACAGCTTGCCCAAGATAAAATGGATTCCACTGGATACTTGAACCCAAGATGGGGGCAAAATCAGAAATGTTTTAGTTCCCCAAAATTACCACAATTGATGAATCAGTGGATCTTAAGTTGATTCAAGAAGCCCCTTTCATTAAACAGATTTATTCAAGTTCAGATCAACAACTGGATTTAGCTCTGGGTCTGCAGAGCTTATACCAGTCACTCATACAGTTTTTCTGAAGATCCTAGAATACATCATTTACCTAGCAGTAGATGATTTTTCCCCACTTTGTCCCACATTCATTTTTAATATTTTAAGTTCTTTTCATTATGTTTATGAAAGAATTTGCAAATTGTATTACATTATTGTAGAAATAAAACTGAATGAAATTCTCATTTGTCTGTATCAGCCAAACTCAATACAGTGGTACCTCGCAAGACTCCACTAAACGACGAATCCACGTAACAATGACTTTTTGTGATTGCTATAGCGATTCGCAAAACAGTCATTCCAATGGGGGATTTTCACTGGATGTCGATTAGGTCCATGCTTCGCGAACCGTTTGTTCGCAAGATAATTTTTTCCGATGATCGTTGGCTGCGCAAAATGGCTGTCCTGTGTTTTCTGGACCTATGCTTCGCAGGGCAGCCATTTTTACAGCTGATCGGCACTCGCAAAATGGCTTCCCTATGGGCAATCTTCACTGGACGACAAGGTGTTTTCCCCATTGGAACGCATTAAACCAGGTTTCAATGCATTCCAATGGGGCAAGGGCTTTCGCATGACGACGATTTCGCTAAACAGCATTTTCAATGGGTTGGATTATCGTTGTCATGCAGGGCACCACTGTATTAGTGGTATGGATAAAAGTGTCTTGTGACATGGAAAAAAGTGCATTATACCTGCCTGTCATGTAGTTCTTGAAAAACAGGAGCCTGTCAGAAAGATGAGGTGAAAACCTAAATTTAGCACCACAAACATGGTCAAACACAGAAGGATTCAGCTGTAGACTTTAAGTGTTAAACATTAAAAGCCCTCTCCCTATATGGCCCAGACCATCAGTTTTGGTTCCTCCCATGCAAAAGTTCATTGCTCAGAACACCTTGTTATGAGGACTAGAGATGGGCACGAGCCCCGTTCTCTTTCCCTGCCTGCCTGGCCAATGCCTCACTCACCAGCTAGAGCGCACTCCTCTCCTCCTCATTTTCAGCTCTTCAGCCAATCTAAAAGTTTGTGGGCTGAACTAAGTTAACAGTGGTAGCTTTGTGTGACAATACCAGATTGCGAACTTCTGCATGCAAAGCATCTGCCCTTTTACTGTGGCCCTTTTACTGTGCCCTTTTACCCTTTTTCTGTCTTGCTGTTTCATCAGGCAGTAAAAGAGTGAAAGCTGCTTGGAATCATGAACTGGCTTCATTTCCATGTCCTGTTGGAGCCTGGAGATTATAGGTTGCTCTGATTGGTCAAGTAAACTGAAACAGTGTGAGGTAAAAACTGAAACAGCAGGCCAATTGTGAATGTGGCAATACATCTTCAAGGCAGACAAATAATAAGAGCCAGTTCAGGAATGAAGGGACTGGAAGCTTGGAGTGAAAAACAAACAAGGTTCAAACAAGGCCTGTGGATATCCAAATTGGGCCTTTAACAAGGCAATGACCAGACTCAGCAGGACAATGGAACAGTCTAAGACCCAAAGCCAACGGAAGAACTTGGTCATTACTTACATAGTGGGTGTGTCTGAAAAGCTCAAAAGGATTTTTGGTAAACACCACATACCCGTGCACTTCAAACCCACAAACACACTAAGGCAGAGACTCATCCACACAAAAGACCAGACACCAAAACACAACAGGAGCAATATAGTATATGTGGTCCAATTGCAAAGAGGTGTGTTTGGAGCTCTACACTGGAGAAACCAAACAGCCACTAAACAGCACAGGAGGGGCAATGGCTCAGGACCACAATCAGCAGTGTTCTTTCACTTGAAGGACACTCATTTGATGACTAAGGTGTACTCATTTTGGACCAAGAAGATAGTTGGTTTGAGAGGGAGTCAGGGAGGCCATATGCATATAGAAAAATCCCTCACTCAACAGGGGTGGAGGCCTTAGATACAATCTACCTCCTGTTTATCACGCTGCCCTTTCATCCATCCCCAGAAAGATCAGGACCACACCCACCAGAAAGACCACTGTTAATGACTCATGTCAATGGGTGGAGGACTGCAGAGGTGAAATTTTCACTCCCCTGCCCACATCCTTTGTCCGTCTAATGAGCCGGGGGAAGCAAACCCAAGGTGAGGGATATATCAGGGGTCTCCTACCAACTCTTCTCAGACTGTAGAAGCTACTTGGATGAGTAGCGAAGCATTTCAACCTAATAAGAATTTGCCATGACTCAACTTCCAGTTCACCAAGGAGCTGGATTCCACATAGTTGGGATCTGTACTGTTCTTCCATCAGAAAGGTCTGAGCTCAGAGTTTAAGTTGGCAAGTTTTCCAAGATCCAAACCCAAATTGGTTGTGAGCATCTTGAAAAGGCTCCAACTCTCTAGACAGGCTCAGTATATTTGGCACTTAAGCATGTGTTTTGCTGTTAGGAGCCCACTTCCACCAGTGTCCTCAGGCACTGATGACCTCAGTCTTCTCAGATTCAATGGACAAGGCAAGTTTCTTAGGGACACTGCGGGAGGGTAGTTCAACATCTGTTGTTGCCTGGTCTATCATCTTCAGGACTCTGTGGAAGCATCTGTGTAACTGCTGAAGTCTTGGAGACTAATGGGAAATTCTTTCTCAGGCTCTTCCTCTGAGGATGAGTCTCTGCCCTAAGTTTGAGCTTCAAATTTCTATCCCTGTTCATATATAAAGATTATTTTCTTAAACCTACTTCTGTTTTTTAGGAGGTTTCACGGCATGTGCGAGAATTGCTAGAAATAGAAGAGCCCCTCTTTGTTAGAAGTATTGCTCTCCCACCCAGAGATAATACTGGTTTGTTTCTAGAGCAAAAGTCTCGGACTGGAAAATTGTCTGATGCCCTTACATATCCTCAGTTTATTCAGAAAGCTGGATTATGTGACTATGAGCCACAGCCAACTCCTGAACCTTCAGCATCACATCCTGAAGATTCACAACATGAATGTCTACAGCAATCAAGTTCATTTGTTTTGAAATAAATACAAAAATGTTTTCTTTCTCTCTATTTAAAAAAATAAAATACTTGCAAGATAAATTAAAAGAATTTTTAGAAGTGTGTCTACTGATTTAAGTAGAAGCCTTTTCAAATGAAATTGATTAATGGTTGTTGTGGGTTTTTCGGGCTCTTTGACCGTGTTCTGAAGGTTGTTCTTCCTGATGTTTCGCCAGTCTCTGTGGCCAGCATCTTCAGAGGACTCCTCTGTTAATTGGGCAGTATACAATTGGGCAGGGTCCTCTGAAGATGCCGGCCAAAGAGACTGGCGAAATGTCAGGAAGAACAACCTTCAGAACACGGCCAAAGAGCCCGAAAAACCCACAACAACCATTAGATCCCAGCCGTGAAAGCCTTCGCGAAATTGATTAACATTACTATCTGAAAAGGAAAAAGTGGAAGTCCTATTTTTATCTTATCCTAAACTAGGGAAACTGATTAGATTATGTAGCAAAACTGTTGAGAATACTTCATTAATTCAAAACAGTTGATGAAACATATCTTCACTAGGTGGAAAATCAAAGAACCAAAGCGTTTGAAGAACATATTTGATTTATTTTGGGTTTGTTTTCATCCAGTTGTGATTCAATTTGTAAGATTTCTATAATTATTATACTCAATGTTCATTTAGTGTTATAAAGAAAAACAAAGCATTACACTCAGAATCTGTCTGCACTTGATGGCTCTTCTGCTTTGCTTGTTCCATCAAGGGTACAAGTTTTGATGGGGTTCAGTAGCACAGCTGAAAGGTTCGCCCTTGTGGAGGAAGCTGTCACTGATTCTTCATTGTTTACAGGCAATCCTGTGAGCATGTTACAGTAGAATGAAGCTATGTTGTCCCTGAAGAATACGTCTGTTGTAAGAAGCTGACTAAGAGGGGAGTCCTTTAGCTGTACAGTTGTCAGATCAAACCAGGGAAGACAGCTAGGAGAGGAGGAAAGATTGTATCCTATTGGTCTCAGAAGCTGTACCCCAGATCAGTTCTATTTGTCTCATTTTGTTATTACAGAGAGGCTAAATATGGAAACTGGATTTAAAATTTAACCAGTGAATCTCCTTTCCTCTTTCATGTAAGGGCTACTAAAGAAACAGAACCCATTAAACAGAACCAACATCTCGATAGCTGCTTTCTAGTAAGAAAAGCTGCCATAGAATGGAGACAACATGTGATGTATCATTTTCACTCTGCTTTTATTTTTTAGTTTTTAATATCATTTGTATACTCCCCAATTAACACTGTCCTCTACCTAAAAATAGCAGTCAAGGGAAGCTTTCTGGTAATAGCAGCTGGGGGAGGGTTCAGCAAAAATGTGGCATTAAGCTCCCATCCCTATGGGGATGTTCCCTCTCATGACTTTTTTTTTAAAAAAAAAAGGATTAGACTGACATCAAATGCATTCACATATTAAACATTAGGTTTTTTGTGGCCTATGGAGGAATACAGGAAAGCAAAACAAGTAAAGCACACTTGGGTCCATTTCCAAGATTATTTCTTCTAAAAATGCCAACAGGACCTCAGCAACTGTAAGCTTTTGCAAATTGCTTAGTTCACAGACACTTTCAATTGTATAGGGATATTCCATGCTACTGACTCCTATAATTAGAAGTCATATAATAAACTTAGAACTACAGAGCTGGAAGGGACCCTATGGATCATCGAGTCCAGCCTCTGTCAATTAGACTCCCAACCTCTGGCTCTCTGCAGTCAGATGCCTAAACCACTCAGTTATCCAGCAGTTCTGGCAATGGTGTGGAAGGATGAGGAACCTCTTTCAGCCTGAGGGTCAAATGCAGTTTCAAAAAAGGTTTTGAGGAGGGCATTCCAGTGATGAGTGGCACCAAAGGCAAAAAGGTGGAGCCCAAAATACTAGCATGTTTTATTTTAACACTGCAAGTACCATAATCAAAGGAGAGGCATTTCAACCTTTGAGAATGGAGGGAAATGCTACAGAAGCTGAGAAACCTCCAAATGTTTGAGCCATGGGGAAGAAGACATGGCCATCTTTAAAACAGGGCTGGATCTAGATCACAGGACAGCCAGATTCTACCCCAGGGCCTGAGACTCCCTACCACTGATGTAGAAACCCACGTATACAACCATGTGTGTCCATACTTGAAGTGATTTCAAATTATTACAAAAGTGTCACAGTGGCCTATTTCCAGCAGCATTGACGTAACTGGCAAAATTTAAATTTACCTGAGCAGAGACTAATCCAGATATGACTAACTTTTGAAATGATCGATTAATGAAACCCAAATGCAGAAAATAATAGATTATATAATCTCTGCATCTCCTATAAATTTAGAGATTAGAGAACAAAAAACTTGAGCATCAAACAACAGAAACATGTCCTATATACTTTTACTTAGTGCCAAACTAGACAAATAAACTTTGCTCCTATTTACAAGAGGTGCTGTCTCAATTGGTGTCATGTACTGTATGTATATTTCCTCACTCTGCAGCTTGCATTTACTGTGCGTTGCTCAATTTACATGTCTGATTGTTGAAGCATATATATTTGAGGAAATTAGCCAGTGTATTGTTGTACAACAGGGATTTTCAGCTGCAGTTTTCTTCTGATGGAAGAATTCTTTTTTTAATTTCCAGATGTGCATGAATTAGTCTCATTGTGTTTATTCTGCTCAGTCAAATGCAAAAAAGATGTCTTTAATCAGCAGCAGTCTGCCACTAACTGTGACATCATTTCCATTGTGCATATGAAGCCTCCTAACAGTATTCTAGCCATTGTTATAGAAGATAAATTAGGCTAATTGCTGGACCTGTGCATTCCCCTTAATGTCTAGTATTTTAATCCTTAGAAAACGTGTTTCTTAATGGCTTAATAGGGCTATTACATATCATTCAAATTTACTGTAAATAGAATACCACTAACCTATAAATGTTCAGTAGGAATGATTAAATACAGTTTACCACTTAATCCAACTTACTCATCAGGTAAAAGAGTGGAAGCAAAGGCTTGGTTGATAAAGTTTTCACATTCTAACAGTGGTGGTGATTTATCATCTCCAGAGGTGACAGCATTATCATCAGGAAAGCACACTTGATTGAGTAAGGCCAAGGCCCTTGCATAGCGCAAACCCTGCCATGTGTAACTGTTTAGAGCTGCATAGAACACAGCTGCCAGCCAGTTTGTATTGACAACAATTTCCCCTGTAAAGTAAGGGAAACTTTATATTAGACTTGTAATGTACTTCCAGACTAGAGAGTTTCCTTGAGATATTATTTGATTGCAATACAGTTTAGCAGCCATGATGGAAGGTACAGTCAAACAACTTCTAGATATCCAGATATTTCTCAGCCCTGCACACCGTAAGTAACATTAGGCCCATGGTGGTCCTTTCCTGTTAATTTGTGACCCTTCACAGGGGAGTGCCAAATACCTACAGTTTGAGCAATTCCCCACATTGTGGGTATTTGGATGCCCACACCCATCAAAAGTGGAAATAGTTTAATGAAAACTTTTGTACAGCTTATCCTTTTCTTTTTCCTGGATTTGGGTTGTATCAAAATGAGTCAGGAATAAGTAGTTGATTATTTCAGAAAGTACAAGTGAAAAAAATCACATTTTAATGCTCCTCCCTTTGCACACAGAAAAGGAATACAGCAATAGCGCTAGTTCATTACTTGCAGGAAGTCCTACCACCACCATCAAAAAAAGCAAAGGACAAAGCATTACAGGAAATTAATATCAGAAGAGATTCAGATATAAAAGTAATGGTTAATGCCCATTGTGGTTGGTGGGGTAGATGGCAATGCAGCCAATGGTGGAAGGAAGGGGTGACAAGCAGAGCAAAATCAACAATGGGTATTTTCATATTCACTGTGTGGGACTGTGATTTATGCAGAAGAACAATACAGGTGGGGCCCTGAACTTCTGCTTTTGACAAGGAGGCAAACAGGGTAGGTTCTAGGTAGTCTGACTCTGAGGTTGGGCAATGCCCCAAGCTTATGGTATATAAGGAAAGGGGGATTAATAAAAACAGAATAAAAGGGGTTTGGGTTGGATTTTTTTTAAAAAATGTATTTTTGTTTCAAATTTAAAAGTGCCCCATAGAGTTATTACCAAAGAGAAAAGCAGAAATACATTGTTTGTTTATTTAAAATATTTTTCCTGCCTTTCTTCTAAAAAAGCACTTAAGACTTCGTTAAAAACACCATATTAAAACCTAAAACAGTAAACTTTTCAGATGTTTAAAAATAATTAAATAAACATATTTAAAATATTAGGTAAAAGGAAAAAAAGCCATCCTTTTTTAAAACCTCTCTTAGACAGCCAGTCCCTAGGGAAAAGCCTGTTGACAAGAAAGGTCTTCACCTGCTTTTGGAAGGAAAAGCAAAGAGGGGGCTAGTCTGGTCTCCCTGAACAGAACAGCCAGGCCAGAATGACAAAAATTGATCTAAGTGATTTTTTTTGTATCTCTGTGACTTTTTTGGTATCATCTGCCCATAGGAGTTCACTTACCAGTTGGGTTACAAGGACATGTTGCCTGGATAACAGCTGGGTCTCTGAGGGCTTCCACAAGTGTCCTGCTAGCTGTCCACATATGAAAAGGAGCGCTCTCTCTGAACGTGTACTGTGGCCTTATAATTGAATTGCAAGAAAGGAGTTGCCTCAGCCTGAAAGTAAGATCCAGTTAATTCAGGCAGACCACAGTCTGAGAGACAAGCTTACAGAAGAGGAATAATACAGATCTGTAGAATACTCATTAAAACCCTGAACATTTTACCCAATGTAGTATTATTTCCAAAAGGATTTGCCAGGAGTAAGGAATAACTGTCCTCCATCACTCCTCTTTGGTGTACATACAGCCCAACATAGATCTCTTTACACAATTTCAAAATGTGTTAACTGAATATGTGGTGGATATTTATTCACTATCTTGGCTCCAAATTCTACACATTTATGAAAGTTGTAAGATCCAGGTACACTGGAAATCTATTTGCAGTTATCATTCTAGAGCAGATTATAGAGCTTCCACCCTGCAAGCACCTTGAAAACAATGCAGTAATAATTAGAAGCCAACATGTATTTGTTAAGAACAAATCCTACCAGACTAATCTTATCAAATTTTTTGACAGGGTAACCTCCCTGATAGTAGGAATGCTGTAGACAAAATATATACAGTATTGACTTCACCAAAGCTTTTGACAAAATGCCCCATGATATTCTGATTAGCAAACTAGGTGTGGGCTAGACAGAACAACTATCAGAATTGTACTCGGAGAGTGAAGAAGTATGCATATAGTCATGCTTTTACCCTTCCCACATCTCAGATGAACCTAGCTCTGATGACACAGTGCACAGTACCTGGGCAAAGGGATGGCTGTGACCAGACTGTATATAATAGAGCATCTTTTCAGTGCATCCTGAACTTCTGAGCAAATATTTGGGAGGTGAGATGGAAGACAGCAAAGAAATATAACATCTGCCCAGTCTGCCAGCTGCCTGTTGTTGTAAAAGCAGTTAACTCCTAGCATCTGAAATTCTGCTAGAAAAGATAAAAGAAAAAGTAACAACCCCCTCTCCATCACATAGTCTGTTCTTATACACCATCAAAGTGGAAACCCTAATAACATTTTTACATTGCTTAAATATTCAAGGAATGGTTTACTAAAGCTTCCAGTACTAAGTGGGGATTTGAACCCATATCTCCTGAATCCTTGTGACACCCATACACTACACTGGGTCTCCCTTCCCATAGTAAGGTGATGAATTATTTAATATCTTGAGATCTCAATCCCATGTGACTTTGTCTGGGAATAGGTAATATTTGATCATACAACAGGAAGGTGAACAAAGCACAAGAATGTGAGTCATCCCCATCCAGCATGGCCAGTAGTAGAGGATTATGGGAGTTGGAGTTCAAGACACCTGGGGGGCTAAAGGTTCCCCACCTCTGTTTCAGAGGAAGAGAATTCCAAAATTATGGGCTAGTCACTCAGGACATATCTCTATGCGCCCTTATAGTCCCAACATGGAGCAGAGTGTACTGAGGAGGGCATTCTCTATCTGTTGTAATGGTAGCAGAGGTGATGTTGCCAACAGGTAGGACCCAGATTTTGTATGTGAATGTATGCTTATGTGAATGTGTATTTCCTCTCAAATATGAAAGAAAATGGACATTAATATCTTATTGTTGACAGCTGCTCTTGTCCAGTGATGATTAAGAATATGGAATTGGTATGAGGCTGACAGTTGTTGTATAATGCTAATAATCTGAGATATGGATAAAGGCCAGATTATAATATCTTTATGCCAAAAAATGACAAAAAACAAAGAAAACAAACTCAGAGGGCAGTATTTCAAAAAATTGGATTTAAAGCCTAAAACTCAAAACAGCCAAGCAAGAGGAACTGGCCAGCATTCAAAAACTATGTTAAATTAAAAGCCTTTTAATAATCCTCTACATGCCTTCAGTACTTAGAGAGGATTATGAAAAATATATTTATCATTCTAAGCATCTATCTACTGTTCAATGATTCCTTTCTTACGCACACACCATTTGGCATAATGGCCTTATACCCAGATATGAAAATAATTACACTGCAACTTCCACTTCTAAACTCTTTGTATTAATCATTGCAAACAACCTGTGCTTTGTTTAACCATTTGGAACTGGTAGCAGCTGTACAGAACAAAAATGTGAAAGGAGGGCAAGGATATCAAAAAGTTTCTGGTGACAGATGGCCAAGGGATATACAAGCAGAATTGTACTTTTACCAGGACGTGTGACAGGATTGGCAAACAATCTAAGTATGTAGACAGGAACACCTCTGAGTTTTATATTGGATTTGCTTAACGTTCTGACACTTACACAGTTTTTCTGGCTGCCTAGTAGAGATCTGGATGTTCTTTCCTGAAATATCTGTCAACTGTAGCAGCACCCTGGCCAGCTGTTTCCCAATATGGCCTCCACCAATAATCCCAATCTTCAAGGTTTGGCTGCCATTTAATGCCTGGGGGGAAGCAGACGGCTCCTCACATTTTCCCTTTTTTGGCCTGAAGGAGGACACAAAAAAGTTAAATAACCTTGATAACCTAGGGGCCAGACTTCTTCCCTCAGGATCCTTACAGGTACAAAGATTACCAAAACTGACCCCCTTCCACCCCCTGTCTGAAACCAGAAAGGACTAAAACTCCACGTTCCAGCTTTGAAAATCAGAGGCTTAATAGTATTAAACAGTGCTGTGGGGCTTAGTCCTATACAAAATATGAACTGTTGCACCTGCAAGTCACAATTCACTTTCTTTGATGGAAAAGGGGGAGTTCAGAAAATAGTTTTGGGGTGCCTTTTCCACCCCTGTCCTTATTAGGTGAATAACAAATTACCAACAGAAAGTGTCATGGACAATCCCTTGAGCAGAAATTGATAACATTTCTCTGTAAAGCAAAGCAAAGCAAATCAAAGCGTGTAAGGGTAGCATCCCATTGGGAACAATCTACATGGGGGTGGAGTGAGGACAAATCAAATGTACAAATGGAGAGCTGAACTGACCACTTGCAGAGGGCTTTGGAAATGAGTCCAGGAATCCCATGCAACCTTAGACTTTTGCCTTACGGGAATTCTTTATAAACAAAATATTAAAATATTTGGTTAAGTAAATATTTTGATGCCCTTTCCTGTGAGATCATAACAAACTCAGAGCACTCAACATCTAACCATTAAGGAATATGAGCTAAAAGGAGGAAAGAGAAATAGGGGAAGAAGAGATTGATTATCTTTCATGATGCTTGATAAAGCAAGGTGAAGTCATGCAAGGACAAAGCCAGCAGCACTTCAAAATTCAGTTCCTAGCAAAGATTCAGCTGGCATCCTTGTGAACAGGTTTCCACAAAAGCCATAAATTAAAGAAAAATGTGATGTAGATAATCTGAAGATTATTTATATTACAGCAGTTGTGGTGGTGACCCTATTGTCCCAAAAGTCTAGTATGCCCACCAGTTACATTATGCTGCACCAGGAATGGCTCACAATGGTTCCCCATGATTTTGCAGTCTGTAACTCCCATAATCCACTGCCATTGCCTATGCTAATAGAAGTTATTAGATGAAAAAACATCTGGAGGGCCAGAGTCACACACCCCTGATCAGTTCCAAGGAAAGAAAGTTATTTCTTCCATGTCCCACCTGGTGGCCTGGAGTACTTTGCAGAAGAAGAGTATGTGGGCACAGGCAGTCGCGGTCAGGCCTTTGACACGGCATCTCAGATGTAGTAAGGGCTCATTTATCCCTGCCCCATATTCTGGCTGAAAGGTTTTCAGGTTTGCCATAATATCTGCCATCTTAAGCTTAAAAAAAATCAGATGAGCATCAGCTACAATGGCAAGAGAAACAAAAAATATGAAAGCCATGGGGTCCTTGTACACAATCCAAAGGCAGGGGTGGGTGATACTTTGATTATTAGCAGGCAAACAACCCCTGTGGTGCTCAATGGCCCACTAGTTACCTCTCTCCAGGATGAAGAGAAGCCATTGGTGAGCACCCTTTGGATTCGGTCAGTCAACCAATTAGAAATCTACCAAACAGTAGCAAAGTCTAGCCCACATTTTACTAGCTTCTTTGCAAGAATATCATGGGGAATTTTGTCAAAGGCCTTATTGAAATCAAGATATGCTACATCCACAGCATTCCCTTCATCTATCAAGCCTGTAACTCTTTCAAAAAGAGATCAGACTAGTCTGGCATTACTTGTTTTTAAGGAACCCGTGTTGACTTTTAGTGATGGCGGCATTGCTTTCTAAATAATAACTATCTGTTTAATGATCTGCTTTAGAATTTTTCCAGGAATTGATATCAAGCTGACTAGGCGATAATTATTTGGGTCTTCTTTTTTCTCCTTTTTGAAGATAGGGACAACATTTGCCCTCCTCTGGGTCTGTGGGGACTTCTGTTCTCCAAGAATTCTCAAATATTATTGCCAATGGTTCTGAAATTACTTTAATATCCTTGGATGTAATTCGTCTGGCCCTGGAGACTTGAATTCATTTAGAGCAGCCAGGTATTCCTGTACTACTTCTCTACCTATTCTGTGCTGATTAAGAGTATAGACTCATAAAGGGAGACATGGTCCTTGAGACATCTTGGACCTAAGCCATTTAAGGCTTTATAGGTTAAAACCAGCACTTTGAATTGTGCCTGAAAATTGATCAGTAGCCAGTGAAGCTGTTATAAATGATCCCTGTGACTAGCTCCAGTTAGCAATCTGGCTGCTGCATTTTGGACCCGCTGACATTTCTGGACACTTGCTAGAGGCAACCTGATATAGAGCGTGTTACAGTAGTCTAGACCAGAGGTCCCCAACCTTTTTAGCCCCGTGGACCAGCTGGGGGAGGCAGGGCACCCCACTTGCGCTTGTGCGCATATGCGAAGGAGTGCTTGCTCGCTCATGAGCAAAAGGGTGGCACCGCACTCGTGTGGGTGCTTGCTCGTTCATTCGCATGCGCAAAGGGCGGTGCAGTGCTCATGTGGGCACGTGCACACTCGTGCATATGCGCAAAGGGCAGTGCAGTGCTCATGCAAGCACACGCACGCTCCAGAGGTCTGTGGGGCCACACATGGCCACCTTTGACCCTTAGATCGCTACCTATGACTTCCACAAAACAAAACAAAACTCACCTCAGAAAACTGGATGTTTTTGTTGTGTTTTTGAATCCTCTAGGAACATTTTTTATTTTTTACTTTTTTTATATTTTTCACTTATTTCTATTTCTATTTATTTTTTAAATTTAGGGACCTCCCTAAACATGGCAGGATCCCAACCACAGAGGACACAAACTGATATTTTGAACCATTTTTAAAAAAGCTTTTAACATTTTGAGGGGGCACCTCAAGGACATTGGCTGGCATTCTGTGGGGCCTTTGGAATATATATTGCCCACCCTAACTCTGTGGTGCAACTTGCCAAGCCTCTTCCCTTTTCTTTTGGAAGAAACTTTCTACATTTAAGGAAGCAGAGAAAAAGCGGGAGGGGGCATCTATATTAGTTAAATTTTGGAGATCTATAACAAGGCTTTTTCTATAAAACATTGGGGTGACTTTTTTCTATAGAATTTATTATTTCCCAGACTTTGTGGGTGACAGTAACCAAATTATAATAAATTAAACGGAAACCGTATATGTTTGGGTTTTGTTTTGTTTTTGCCTAATGTGAAAAGTTTATTTAGCTCACAGAAAATAGCTTTTGTGGAACAAAATTATTAATTAACTTCACACAGAATGGCATTCTCCCGCTATAGCAGAAAAAGCAACATTCAGCATTTTCTAACAAATAAGAAAGCACTGACTCTAGAGTATACCCTTGCTCATATAATGCTACCACTCCCATTTGTTTGTACTACCATTGCTTTTTTATCCACAACAAAGAAAAATGGTTCATAGAGTCTCCTTCGCAATTTGAATTACCACAGAAATCCTATTGGGCTCAGATTTTCTGAATATGGCCTTCTTCTGATTTGGCTTGCAAACCACAACCTCCTTAGCTGGCTGGAGTTGGCCTCCAACACATTTAGAGAGCTCCAGATTGTAAAGTTCTGTTGCAGCCTTTTAAAAAGTATTAATCGCCAACCCAAGTCTTAAGTGTTCCCATCAGCAGGGTAGTTATATTTGAAAATGAGGACCAACTTTGCCTCCACCTCACCATGGTCCTGCCTCCGCCCCCCTAAACCACAGAAAGCCAAAAGCAGCAAAGTCTCTTTAACTTCACACAGGAAAAAGGGAAAGAAATCTCAGCCAGTTACCAGATTTTACATCTGTGGAGAGAACCAAGTAATTGCAGTACATTTTCTTCCAGCTCCTCTATCAACTGCTAGTCTGAACTGCAGCCAAGATCACAGTCCAAACAAAGTGTTGTTGCCATAGCAAACGCTTAGTTACTGGGCCTTGCTTCTAGAACCTTTTTAGCATTTAACAGCTTTTAAAAGAGCCAGTAGTTCTTTCCTGGACTGACTCAGAATGCAAATAAACAAAAGTTTAGAATCGTCCTCAGTTGTACATTTAGGGAACAGCTGCAATCCTAAATCTATACACTTAGGAATAAGCTCCGCTAAAATCTGTGACATATATTTCCAAGCAGACCAGAACGTCACGGGACATTGCTACAAATTAAACTCGTCAGAGCTTTGAAATTTCAGCTTTAAAATTTCCTTTATGAAAACACATAACTATGTTAAATACTGAGCATGATAGCTGTTTTCCCTGCTGTTCAACACACTGCTTACACGATATGAGACTGCCAAACTGATTACATTTAAAAAGAATTACTTTATCAATCCAGATTAAATTATCCATAAATGACCTGTGGGGTTTGTGGCTCTTTCAAAATGGGCATCAAGAACAATTGTGGCTTTTGTCACATTTTAACACATTTGCAAGTGCAACATACAAAAAGCAAACAATTCAGCCCTCTTTCCAATTCTGAAGTAAATGAATTGCCAATCCAAAAATAGGCAAAACCTCTATAGACCACTAAAAAAATCATCATACAATACACAAGCTTTTGTGGATCAAGAACCACTTCATCAGGTTTGTACCAGTGTGAAGAATTTAAATGTCCAAAAGTTCATTGCAAGATGGAATTCACCAGGCATATCTCTCTTAGATGTAAGTCGGGAAATAGTATGGTTGCTGTTTTAAGGTTACAGCTGTGGACTAGAAGTCAAAACTTAGATGTAAGTCGGGAAATAGTATGGTTACTGTTTTAAGGTTACAGCTGTGGACTGGAAGTCAAAACCCAGTTCTTGAAACAAAGAAGCACAGGCCATGCATGCACCTCTCCATTTGGCCTTTTCTTGAAATGGACATGTTTCTGCTTGGCCACAACAGTATTAGTCCTGTGGAATCTCAATACTACGTCTGCTGTAAGGCTCTTCTGCTCAAATACTGAAGAGTTGGCTTTTCTTGGTCTAATGCTTTGAATGGCAATTCACATCATTTCCAACCATGGACAATGTTGGCTGGCTGGGGCTGATAACATTTTAGTCCAAAACATGGGAGGGAACCAGAATAAGGAAATTTGCTGTAAAGTAATTTCCTACAGAACATCAGACAATAGCCACTGCTGGAATAGTTTTGTTAGCCCTTTGGGGGGGGGGTATTATTTTAGTTGCAAAATAAGCAAAGCAGCATTTTTGACAGTCTTCAACTAGAAGTGGCTTCAAGTACTTGTTCGCTGAAAGATTATACGATGAACACCAATCTGGAAATGGAAAAACTGAGTGGGGTTCTCTCCAGAAGAATCTTTTTATAATATTTTCTAGGTTTAAAAAAGACTTCCAGTTTCCTTTTTTCTGGAGGCAAGAACATTGTTCAGGGCACAGTTTCAATCCACTGAGAACAGCCATGGTCCCAGGGTTTGACCGGGAAGAGGTGGAAGGGTTGGTAACAAGTTCCATACAGGAGATGTTTTACATGGAGAGTTTTCCTGATCTTTTCAAATGAGTAAAATGCAAAAGTCTGCAAGGAGCAGAAGTCCCTTCTTCACTCATATTTTCTTCCCCTGGCTGTAAAATGATATACATTAATCCGGTGGTAAAGCAATGTAGACATCTGTTTGTCAGCTTTGGTTCCATTGACTACACCTCTCTTTTCACAGCTGTAATTGCCTAGATGTCTGTTTCTGTCCAAGGATCCAGAGGCAGGGAAAGCTGACACCAGACAAGCTAGACAGTTGCTTGAAACAGATGGCTAGCTGTGCTTTGCAGTTTTTCTCTTTGACTTAATTGTGCCAAAGGAAATCGGGCTGCTTCTGAGATGAATTAGCGTTTTCTCAATTCTTCCACCGGATTTGCTGCAAGAAAGAAGCAGAAGAGATTCTTATAGGTGTATCTCTATTCTGTGAGATATGGTCATACCTCCACATTGTGTCAGAAGATAGCCAGTGAGCCTTGACCCATTAAAAGGAACAGGGGACAGGGGATCTCCAACTTATCCACATACTGTATACAAAATGAAGTTATTGGAAGAAGGTTTTATCTGCTCACTAGAAGGAAAAGATTAGCTTTTCTCACTCAGTGGAACAAAGATACAGTCCCCTGGAAATGAAGAGTTTAACCCAAGCCAGCTATCTGAAACATACCAATCTAAAGGGAAGTGCCACCAGTTCTTATTTAAATCTTAAAGGCAAGGTAAAATATAGAAGGCATAATAGAAGGTGTTGGGGGGGGGTCATCACAAACCATTGCCTGTTTCAAAAAGTTCCATTTTATTTCCATCTGTATTATGGTCACGAACTGCAGATAGAAAATATTTATTTATTTTATTTATTTATTTAATTTATACCAAGTTCCATTTTATTTCCATCTGTATTATGGTCATGAAGAGTTAAACTGCAGATAGAAAATACTGTACCTTCCAGCATGTGTTTTTGGGATGGCTGGAGTTCAGGATCACCATAATTTGAAAAGGAATCAGATTGGGAAAGCAGTTCATACACAGAAAGCCAGAAAACACTGTCCTCGCATTCATTCATTCATTCATTCATTCATTCATTCATTCATTCATTCATTCATTCATTCATTCATTCATTTTATTTATATCCCGCCTATCTGGTCGGTTAAGACCACTCTAGGTGGCTAACAGCATAAAATAGTATAAAAAAATTTAAATAGAAGAAACCTAGGAGAGGGAGGAAACAACAGGAGAGGGAGAGGAGAGGGCATTCTTGGCATCTAGCTATAAAAGCTTGCTAGGAGTAACTATCATACTGTAAAGCACATGGAATGGCAATGCCCAACCTTTGACAGAACTTAACTATAGATAGAATATGGAACGGAAGATTTTACAGGACGACTGGACATAAAGTACATTGGGATTTAATAGTAGATCATTAGGTGTTTTACAGTCCAGCAACAAGTTGATCTCACATACAAATCCGAAACTATGCTGCTAACATGAAAAGAATTAGGAAAATAATATTATAACTAGCATTTCAGGTATGAAAGCCCGAGTTCTGCTCAATCCTATTATTCAGCAATGTCTGGTCCTGAAAATAAATTATTCAATTGAAATTAACTCAGAGGTGCTTATGCCACACATTCTATATTGCTATTTTACACCCGGATCCATTGGTTTGAGTGAAAAACAAAGCAGATCCTGTATGCCTAAAGTCCATCACCCATGAATCAAAACTTGTCAAGGGAGAGGGGAGCTGATTTTTGTTTCAACGAGTGTGTAAATAAGCTAAAACACTTAGGATACTACTGGATACTCTGGTAGCTCTGCTCTTGAGAGGTTTGGCTCCTCCACTTCCCACTTAGAAACGTTCTGCATACAAGTTGCTCTTTCTTACCAGGTTGCCTAGGATGCTATCAATCTTCTCCTCTGCTGCAGAACCCCGCTCAACTTTACATCTATATGCCATCAGCTGGACACGGTCCTTCAAATCTTTGTATGTCTAGTTAAACAGAAAAAGGAGAAGCCAACTATATCAAGATGTTTAGCATAGCACTGAATCTCACAGTAACTTGAAAAGCAGTCAGCCAGCCCTCCTTTGTGGCTGCCCTCTAGTGTTCTTTCCCAAGGGAGCAACAGCTTGCCCATCCTCAGTTGGTTTTCCACCACGTACCTTCATTTTTATGGACGGCTTTGGGATCTTAAACAGTTTTCAGCTCTAATGGAAAATGGCTTTCACTTCTATGGAAACTATGAAAGGAATCCACTTTTGTGTATGGTTTCTGTTTTTACTCAACAATGTTTAGCTTAACTGTTGTTATCTGTGGCTGAGGTTCTATTGTATGTCAGCGGAGCAAAAAGTCCTAAAAGTGTAGTTAATGTGCAGCCACTTGCTGCTTGTTGTTGCACAAGTAGTTTTGCTACTGAGAAAACACTACTTCCATTTACACAATTAGGTTTTAGATGCTTTTGTATAAGCAACAAGAATGTCAAACACATGAAGAAACATAGTGCAAATGATTTGACACAACAAAATCCTGGGCTCTCTATTTTTACTTTTCTGATATAATGTTGTTTTAATGTTCTAATCTTTGTTAGTGCCTTTGGATTATGTTTAAAATGGATAGAAATATTTCAAACCAAGAAATACTCTCTCTTCATATAGTTACAGACAGCTTCCTTCACAGGTTGATCCTAGTGTTAAAAGGATGTCATACTGCACAATCTGAGCTTTCACTTTTCCCTTTTGTGAGAAAGAAACCAGCCAGAACATCATCCTGTCTTTTCATTAATAGTTTTGCACACCTAGTGTTCAAATATCCTTTGTTTTGTTACCACCTAATAGCCATTGGTTAGGAGTAAATGGTAGAAATTTTACTCAATTGTTTCAAGTCTTTTCTATTTTAACTTCTGTGTATTTGTGATCATCCAGATATGGATGGACTTCAGCCTCCCTAAGAGGATAATGTGCAGTGAGCCACAAGTTGCCTACTCCTTTTTACAGCAAAGAGTGGCTAAAACACATGTCTACGCAGGCAACATATAAATGGGATAGTAAGCTGGATCATAAATCTATTTGCTATGAACAGAAGGGCTCCTTTTTGTGCATAAGAGATTTCTGAGCCAACTGGCAGAATGAAAAAAGCAGTGGTCTTTTGCAAGGAGATACCCTTCATCAGTCCAGAATGCATAAGAAATAGCAAGGAAAACAATCAGAAAACTAGCCTTGTATAAATTTATGATGTCAACTTATTAAAAATAGTTTTGGGTTTATCCCAGCAGTCGTTACAGATAGAAATGATCTACTAAACCAGCCATCAAATTAATTTTTTTCCCATGCATACTCAGTGTAGTGAGCATGGACTAACACTCTTTCTAGCCTCTAGAATATTCCAAAGATGTGCAAAAGGAACCCAGATGTTTGATTGACAGAGACCATGAAGAAGAACCCAAACTGGCCTCCCTGGCTGGTGTAAGTCTCGGTGAGACTATCTCTTGGAGATGGCTCTGATCAGGAGGAGAACCTCACTCTGAATTCAATTAACTCAAATCAACATTCATGTTTCTCCTCTTCCCCATTTTGTAGTCAGAACAACCCTGTAAAGTAGGTTAGGCTGAGAAAGAGAGATCAGTCGAAGATTATGCAAGTGAATTTCATGACTCAAGAACCTGAATCAGAATAGTCCATGTCCCTGTCCCTAATCAGTAAACCGTAATAGTCATCTAAAATTAGCTCCCCGGAAAACTACACTAGAAGAGTGGTGTATAAGACAGACAATATATGCTCACCTTTCATCTGCCCTACTGAGAGACCTGCCAATACAAACAATAAAAGCAAAAGCCACCCACATTCCCAACAGAGCCAGCAGAGACTCACATCTATAACCACATCATGGCATTTGTATTTCACAGCAAGATTCAGCTTTGTCTCAACATCTTCCACTAAGCGCACATACTCCTGTAGTACCTGAGTAAGAAAAGGAAAGTGTTAGCAAAACAGAGCTATCCAGACCTAATTATCTCTTTTTCAGTGCCCCTGGTATACCTGTAAATAACATTGCCCTGCATCTCTTTCCTCCAGAAGGCCAACACCAGATGATTCCTGAGCTAAGCAATTCTAGTTAACTCAAAGACAGGACGGAACAAGACATCCGTGACTGGCTTAACTACAGGACATTCTCATGGCTGACAACACCCTGAGCAGGAAAGACACTGCAGGGTAGAGTTAAATGACCCTAGCCCTGTAGACCAACTCCAGGAGGAAGCTATTAGTATTTTGTGACTAGGCAACTCACCTGCACTGGGGCATTGTTCCGCTGTAAGATCTCAACCACCCGATGGAAGCCAATAGGAGCTTTCTTTTTGGTGTAGCCCAACCAGTTCTGAAATCACCACCAAAAACACATTAGGATTAAAATTTCTAAGAGAGACATCCCAGACATGTTAGGGAGGGGAGCCGATGCTGTAAATAACTGAGAAGCATGCACAAGGTATCCCACAACAGTTCCTCCTAAATGACAGAAGTATTCTTCCTTGGGCTGAGACTAGTGCAACCTATGAAGAGACTTCCATGTTTCGGCACAGTATTCAGCATACTCGTTGGTGCAAAATACATGGAACATTGAAAACAAGCCTGGGACAAACCTCATCGTAATGCTGAGCTAGTCTCCAATGTGTTGTGCAAAGGCAGGGACCTTAAAAAGCAAAGGAACCAGAACACCAACACAGAGAAGTTTGGACCTTAAAAAGCAATGGAACCGGAGCACCAACACAGAGAAGTTCAAAGTGAAGCAGAAGGATGTATTTTAGCTCTTGAGCCTAGAAACTGCCAGTATTTGGTCTGAGAAGGTCACCTTGACTCACCTTGGTGGTGAACAAGGCATCTACATCATGCCAAGCTCGGAGTTTAGCACGAGCAGCCAGGGCTGTCAGCACATACTGCTTGTCTGGAATCTGCAAGGCAAAGAAACTGAAACTGTAGAACAGGGGTCAACAACAAGTTGATGGCAGTCTACCTCTATCTACTGACCATTTGCTAGCTTTCTGGAATTCTTGCAAAGAAAGGTTGACTCGTTGGACCAAGTTCTGATCTCACAAGGCCTTTCTTATATTGTCAAGTTAAAGTGCGTAATCCGGATCACTTCATTTAACTGATATTATATTATATTATGAATATAAACCATCACTTCATAAATTAAGCACAACCATGTCATTCAAACAAACAAACAAACAAACGCACGCACACACACACACACAGAGAATCAACACCAGTAACAGTAGCAGTAGAACTGCATCTGGTGCAATCTGTCTCTGTGGAGCCTGGTCCATATCCCTAAACCATATTGCAAGCAAGCAACTCTCATTCATTACCTGCCAAGATTAGGTCTTGGTGAACATTGATTAGATTCTTTGAATACACACAAGTTCTACTGGTAAAGCCAGTTTACAGACTCCTCTCCAAGAAACACAGCCAGGGGCACAAAGCCAAATGTTACATACCCCAATGGCTTTCAAACAGATGGGCACCCACTGTGCCATCTACATCACTAAGCAAGGCAGTATACTGCAGTATAGTGGCTACAAAACCCGGATTCCCAAATGATTAAAATAAGACGGCAACCGTATGCTACAATGCAACATAACTACTTGCACCCAAGCAAGAACATTCTTTAAAAAAGCAATGTTTCATCCCAATTCTTTCCATAGGAAAATGGGAGAAACTCTACATAGCCTGAGCTATGGCAGCCACAAACTAATAAAGTGCAATACAATGTATTTTGCCTTAGTTCTAGTCATATCCCAACTCTTTAAAGCATACCGTATTTTTCTGTGTATAAGACAATACTTTAAAATATTTAGATAAAAAATTTAGGGTCGTCTTATACATGGAAGTAAGGAGGGGGAGGGATCAAAGCGCTTTGATCCCTGCTTTCCCCTTCCACTTTCTTCAAAAAAAAAAAACTTTCCTCACTAGAAAGTGGAGAGGGAAAGCAGGAATCATCAAAGTAATTTCTGCTTCCCCCCTTCACTTTCTTCCAAGAGGTAAAGCACATTTTTGCGAGGAAAGTGGAGGGGGAAAGCAGGAATCATCAAAGCGATTTCTGCTTTCCCCCTTCACTTTCTTCCGAGAGGTAAAGCACTTTCTTGCAAGGAAAGTGGAGGGGGAAAGCACTTTCCTCACAAGAAAGCACTTTTTTTGGAAGAAAGTGGAGGGGGAAGCACTATCTTTGCAAGAAAGTGGAGGGGGAAAGCAGGAATCATCAAAGTGCTCAGATCCCTGCCTTCCTGCTTCACTTTCTTGAGAAGAAAGAAATTCTGGGTTAGAAAGGGGGGCATCTTATATGTCGGGGGGCATATTATACATGAAAAAATACAGTAATCCCTTGAATTTCTTCATCTGAAGTAATATCACTGCTTAACTTCCATTATGTGCAATTCTAGCAGTGTTTTCTGCTCTTAGAATGCAGACTAGACCCTGTTTCCCCCAAAATAAGACCTAACCTGAAAATAAGCCCAAGTATGATTTTTCAGGATGGTCGTAATATAAGCCCTACCCCACAAATGAGCCCTAGTTAAGTGAAACCCCACTCTCCACCCTTGTGCAGCAACCCAAAGAAGATGACGTGATTGTATTTGAATAAATGTAGATTGTTGTACATGAAAACAAATAAAACATCCCCTGAAAATAAGCCCTAATACATTTTTGGAGCAAAAATTAATATAAGATCCTGTCTTATTTTCGGGGAAACACAGTAGGTTCCTTACCTTAAATGTTTTCTTCAAGTTTGCTGGACTACTGAATGTTCCCTAGGGAGGAGAGGGATAGCAAGCTTAGTAAAGGAGAGAGACAAGGAAAGAGGGAAAATGCATATGATGCTGATGCTAATAGTACTGTTAAGAAGTAATTTTCTGGCAATTTCTACTGAATTCCTCTTCCTAATCAGCATTTATGGATCTTGTGTACTAGTTTCCTCATACCCTTCCCATAGAAATCAAGACGTCTGCCAGTCTATTTGAGGTTACAGGCTTTATTTATTTAACACATTTGGAAAGATCCTTTTTGATTTTTAAATCAAAACAGCCACAACCTCATTAACATGGATGGGAATGAAAAACAACAACTGATTTATTTTGTTCCAGTAAATAACAACATGTACTAAAATAACACTTGGTAATGTGAGATTTAAAATGGTTCTCCAAACTTTTCCCAATCTGGTTGATCCAGTCTAGGATTCTTGAGTTCCAGTGCCTTTCATAGAACTTTCTAGATTACGATATTTAGGCAGCCACAATAAGAGAGCTGTTTATTACAGTGCAAATTTGTTAAATGTAGTACATAGATCAGGAAAGTAAGTTGCCCTATTCACAGTTAAACCCTTTCCAAGAAATACTGGAATACTTGAACAGGATTGCCCTTGTTTGGAGACAACTATCTGCCTTGCATGACCAACAAGCAGAAGGGGAATCTGGCTCCCTCATTTCTTTGACACAGTGTAAGGTTTCAGTGAGTAACATACAAGCCCCAGTCCCTGTGTGTGCCTGTTGTAATCCTAACCTCAGCCTCCGTGTAATGGTAAAAGCAGGAGTAGAAGAGAGTAGTGACCAGTGGCATGTTGAGGATGGAGGCCTTACGAGGGTATTTCCGAAATATTTCTGTCTGTCCAGCTGATTCTAAATGCTTATCATTTGCCTAAAAGGGAAAAACAGAACAAGAAATGTGCTGAATTAAACCAAGAAGATAACTACAATGTTGTATAGTAATAGCTTCTAAAAAGTACTCAGGATATTCAGGGTTAAGTCATGAAGCAACTTGTCAGCAATTCTACATAGAATTACTCAGAAATAAAACCCACCAATCTTCAGCAGCCTTCTAGAACTTGAAGATGTTACTTTTGCGGCCACTTTCAAATCCCCTCACAAGCGTGAGGGGATTCTGGCAGTTTCCACCTCTTCCAATAAAAGTAATTTCTCCAGTCTCTGGATTAATTCCAAGTCAGTTTGCACAGCACCATAACATTACTGAATGTCATCCAGTCACGATCTTGCATCCTAACCTGAGGCACAGGGCATGTACGAAGTAAGAAAGAGGCAATAACTTCTCGTGCATCTTAAATTCCTTGACCTAAGGTTGGGATACAAAGGTCAATCTATTTACTTGTTTGTTAAGTCTGTGTCTGTATCTCTATCAAATGGTGCTCAAGGATAAAAACAAAATAAAATGCCAAGTGAAATACAAAGCAGAAAAAAAATTTATTCAGTCATTAGGTATGTTAATACCCTGTCATTCTTCCAGCATGCTTAAGTTGGCTTACTAGGCTTTCCTCTCCTGCTTTGGCAGTACTAATTTTAAAAAAGAGGGCCTGTTTTTTGGCTGCTCCCAGATTATGGAACTCCCATCCAATGGAGGCAAGGTTGACTCCTTCACTTTTGAGCGGTAAGATGCTGCATTTATTCTTTAACAAAATAAAATGCCAAGTGAAATACAAAACAGAAAAAAAAATTTATTCAGTCATTAGGTATGCTAATACCCTGTTGTGTGTTTTAAATAGTTTCTAATTTGTACTAATTCTGTGTTTGCTTAATGTGGTAATATTTAAAGCAGTGTTTTAAATACTGTACTTTGTTATAGGCTTTTAAACTTCATTTGCTTTTATATTAGTGCCATACACTGGCTTGAGTTATGCAAGGAAAAGAGGTGGGATAAAATAAAATAAATTCACCTCACTACCATCGACAATAAGAAATCAAAGCCCAGTTCTGCTTCTTTAAGAGGAGGATCTTATCATGTACAACCATGTTACTTTACAGCCCTGCATCCATTTCTATCACCATGATCTAAACGCTAAACCATCCCTCAGATCTGTCAGGAAAGACTGCTGATGGCAAGAAAGCCTTCATATAAGACCTGCTTGCTTAAGCCATACTTCTAATAGGTTTTTGTCAGTACAGAGAAGAAGCTTCAGTACAGAGAAGAAGCTTTTGTTCTAGAATACGCAGAGTACCATCAATGAAAAGAACTGCTGATGGCAAGAAAGCCTTCATATAAGACCTGCTTGCTTAAGCCATACTTCTAATAGGTTTTTGTCAGTACAGAGAAGAAGCTTCAGTACAGAGAAGCTTTTGTTCTAGAATATGCAGAGTACAATCAGGAGCATGAAAAGAATGCTTACATCACAGATAACTAAAGGTGGAGACTTTACCTCAATTATGATCTGTCTCTCCAGGAGTGTATAATGATCTTGAACGTGAGTAGCATCCTCAGGTGAAAATGGTAACCTAAATTGAAAAACATTCTCTCGTCACTTCTGGACTCCCATGCTAACTCACCTTGTAATCCAATGCACAGCAACTTAGCAGGATGTAGTCTCCAACGAGACTTTATTAATGAACGTATTTTGCTGGAGCCCTATTTCTTTCTGTACAGGGAAAGAAAACTGCAGAAGGCACCATGAATGCTTGTTGCATACCTGATGCATGACTGGCCTTTAGTCACTTAGCTATGGCGGCTTCCTTTATTTATTGAGTATATGTATTGAGTATCTTTCTTGCTACCTAGTATTTTTTTAGGATAGTGCAAACCTTTTCAACATTTATCCTGTTTTAGCAAAGAGGACATTTCCCATACTTATCTCTTTGACTAATTAATAATTATGTGCCATTAAATTGATTCTAACTTAGGGTGACCCTTGCCAGGATTTCCTAGGTATGAAGTACTCAGAAGTGGTAGGAGTCGTGTATATTTTGACTTTTTTCACTGAAATATTCTAAGAATGGAAAAGAGAAAGTTCAGGGGAGAAATTATTGTGTTCTTCAAATATCTGAGAAGCTTCACCCAGAAGACGAAGCAGGCTTGTCCTCTCTTGTTCCAAAGACCAGGATCAGACCCAATAGTACATGGAAATTGTGGAGAAGTGGATTCTGGCTAAACCTTAGGAGAAACTTCCCAGCACTGAGAGCTGTTTAAAAAAGGCGTAGGTTGCCTTGGGAAGTGGTGGGCTCCTCTTTGCTGAAGCTAGACTTTGCTAAGCAGAGTCTAGACAGGCATCTGTCGGGGAAGCTGCAGTCACATCTCGTACTATATAGCTGATCAGCCGGCTCACAGACAGACTGAGCAAGGCTGCCTGAGAGGAAGGAAGCCCCCACCCACCCCCGTCTTTGCAAAGACAGCATGGGGCTTCCTTTCGGACATTCACCTAGGCTTGCACAGTCTGTCCATTCTGGACCTGATCAGTCTTCCACAACTGGTATCTTCCACATGGGCTGGATGACAATTTCCATCATTCCTCACCTAGTAAAGTTGGAGAGGGCTGGTCCAGATGATCTCTTAAGTCCCATTTTGACTCCATGATTCTAAATCTGGAAATATTCCCATTTTTCCCCTCTCCCCAAAACTGAGTTATCAACCTTTTTTTGCCTCTGATGCTAGATTAAATCACAAGGATGTGCAGTGGGATGCTGCCTTATCTTTCACGATTTGTCTAATCCCCTTTTAAAACCATCCAGAGTTGGTGACTATCACTACAGCTTGTTGTTCCAACTTCCATGATTTCATTACAAGCTGTGTAAATAAGTGCTTACTTTTATCCCTCCCAAATTTCCCACCATTCAGCTTCACTGGTGACAAAAGGGGGGGAAAATCAATGTACTCCCTCCAAAGTATGCATCATCTTATGCACCACTACTGAGTTCCTTACAATTTACCCTCACCTCTTAAATTTAGAACAACTCCCTCCATTGTTCTTTCTTGTCTTAGTATACAATACCACTAAGTCCATCACTTCCATAATACTGGCAAGACTTGAAAGCTCATTTCACCCTACAGTAACATGAATTCGATCATCCTACACTTACCCAATGCAACCTTTCAGAAACTCTTTTTGTTTCTCTGCATCCTGGATACTCAGGTGTTCCCGGTACTGTGTCAGCTAAAGGGAACAAAAACAGATGTAGAGAACAGACTCGAGGTGGACATTGATGATGACAATGTCATTTACACCCCTTTCTCCAGTGCTTACAAACACCAAAAAACCCAGAATAAAAATAGCAACTGAAAACAGATTTAGCTGCAAACCAAACTGTAGAAGGTACTCACTGCAACCTCCTCGGCCCTGTCCAGGAATCTGTAGAGGAAAAAAAAGAAGCATCAGACCACTCAGCAAACTTGACTCGGAATTCAGTTTTGTCTTTCTGCTCAGGTGGGTTCTTACCTCAACAGGTCCAGGAGGAGTTTTTGGTCTCCTGTTTCCTTGAGGAAATGTATTATATGACGCAAGGCCACCTGCCTCAGTTCCAACTCCCTGAACAAGATCTCTAGATAAAAAGACAAGGAACATGACTGGCTAGGTATGCTCCACATCTCTCCCATATGGATCAGGTACTTGCAGGACGATGTTGTCATTCCTTCATACACCTAAGTATTTCACTCCCAGTCGTCCAGGTGGTTTTTAGGCCTGTGTTGTGTCCACACAGGTGAATACGGCTAGCACAGGGGAACACCCAAACCACGATCAATCTGGATATAAATTTATTTGGTGCACTTTATGCTATAGATTTTTGTGGCAGTTAATCTGAACTGCAATCTTAAATGACCACCCACAGGTTCCTTTTTTTTTTTTTTCAGAAAACAACCAGCGTTGGTGTTTCTGAAGAGAGAAAGACGAGGCCACAAACTGCTTGGCTTGTGACTTCCTATTTTGGGGGGGCTGAATCTGAGGTATTCTGACTCTGCTTATAACACAAGCAGATACAGTACCTGTAACAAAGCTACTGAGAAACTGCTCTGCCCTGCCCATTAAGCTACCTTCCTTTGAAGGCAAGACATCCTGATAGGACAAGGCAACTTTCCAATATCATCCTTACTCACTGCATCACACATGGTCTTTAAGAAAGATTCAGAATATTTTCAAACGTGGAATCTGTTCTATCAATGGTTAGAAATGCAGCGTAGAGATTAGGCCCTAATCTGTATCAACAAATAAATATAAGGAGAGATTAGGCCCTAATCTGTATCAACAAAGGTGAACTCATATATCACAATGTTTAATAAGCACAGACTGATTTTACTAATAAAATTAAAAAGAAGAAGAAGGAACTGATGGATATATTCCTACACTTTTCTTTGTAAATACTGTATACACTGAAGATCTCATGGCCATTCTTAAAAGAAATAGAAAATTACCTGTGACTTTCTTTGATCCTCTAAATATACCCTAAATAGGGATCCAACTCAGTAAGTCTTAGCATTACTCTACATTCAAAACAGAACAATTTGCCATGAGATGATTAATGAACAACACAAGAAATCATTAATATTAAGAAACAAAATTCTTTCTGTCTTTGAGATTCCCTACCATTTTATCTATAGCAAGCCATTTGTTCTTGACAAAAGGCAGACTCAGCCAGCTGATTTACACTATGTTTCTCATTCAGTACCTTAAGGATTTATAAAGTAAAATGAGTCACAGACTTTTACAACCCACTCACATTTTCTCTCCACAAATAACTGGCTATTTTCAGCACATTCATTCCTAAGTGATCTTGGGTGAAATACAATAAGGTGTTTTTTCCCCTGACCAAACTGCTTCCATCAGCCAATTCCTTCTCCCTTTGCATTTTGTTCAAAATCTGCTCCAGAGAATTAGAGAGCCATCCAACATTTTCTAGGAAACCACACGGACGGCTGAACTGCCACTGAGTCAAAATTGAATTCATTTTCATTCTCTTCTACCTGCACGGAGACCTCTGTGTGTTTCAATCAGCATTACTTGAGCACCCATCATATAAAGCAGAGGTCCCCAACTCCGTGGCCCGGTGCCAGTCCGTGGCCTGAGACAGACCGGGCTGCCCCCCACCTCCGCATGCTTTCCCCCGCTGCACAGCCCAAGACCTCCCCCCACCTCCGCACGCACTCCCCCGCTTCACAGCCCGTTTGTGCCTGCGCACAAGCGCGCACACGCTCCTTCACACATGCGCACGAACGCGGGGGGGGGTGCCCCGCCTTCCCCAGCCAGTCTGCGGGGCTAAAAAGGTTGGGGACCGCTGATCTAAAGTACCCTTTCATAAACCTGGCTGGGTGTCCTGTTGTAAATACCATCTCGAGATAACAGCAATAACTCAGTGGTTGGACAGGATTGAAATGTCTCTTTTATGATATAGGATCTCTACAGCAAAGAAGGGCATTTTCCCATCATTGTTACAAACAAATGCAATTTCCTCCCCACGCCTCCCTTCTCCCCAATCTGCAACTGCAAGTGCTGAATAGAATGTGGTGCATGAACAGAGAGCACCCAGGTTGATGAAGGACAAATCCTTCCACGCCCTGTCAGTGCTCAGCAAACAGAGCTACAGTGATTCCTTGCAAGGTTCCCCTTGACATTTTTAGTCCAGTCGTGTCCAACTATAGGGTGTGTGTGTGGCTCATCCCGTTTTTCAAGCCGTAGAGCCAGCGCTTGTCTAAAGACAGTTTCCATTGTCACATGGCCAGCATGACTAGGGAACGCCGTTTTACCTTCCCATTGAAGTGGTACCTATTTATCTACTTGCATTTACATGCTTTCGAACTGCTAGGTTGGCAAGGACCTGGGACAAAGCGACGGGAGCTCACTTCGATCCTGCAGCACAGGCTTCTGCGGTTTAGCCCGCAGCGCCACCACATCCCTTGCAAGAGTTGGTCCAAAATCTGCCCCTCTCCCAGGGATTATGGGACTTCAATTCCCAGACTGAATGGTTAGAGATTCTAGGAGTTGCAGTTTAACATCAAGACTGCTAGCCTGTCTTGACCCTTAAAAAGTAAAAGGATTCAATTCTGACTTGACCTACATGAGGAGAAGAGAGCCATAAGCAGTTTAAGTAAATAAACAGGTTTGCACACAGGTCACTGGGCCTAGCCACTTCTCAGGCATACATACCTTTCTTCAAGGTCCTCTTCAGAAATATTAGAATCTGCAAGAAAATGGACAAGAAGCCTCAGCTGAGCTGTTGGTGCTTGAGCAACAGAGACAGTCACCATTGCAAACGGTTCTTTCAGAAGCATGGAGCCACAAGCAACTGAAAATCCCTCCAGCAGCACTTTATGTACTTTATGCCATTCTTCCGCATGTTTAGACGTGAGCTAGTAATATTTGTAGGAACAGAGCATGAGTATTGGGGCATATTTGGCTGCTAATTCAAAGTGCTGGTTCGAAACTATAAAGCAATAAATGGCTTGGGTCCAAGCTATTTCAAGGACCACATCTCCCTTTATCAGCCTGCCTGTGAGACAAAGAGCATCAGGACAGGCCTTTCTCTCACTTCTACCACCTTCCTAGGTGCCATTTGGTAGGGGGACTGGGAGACGGTCTCTGTTGCTGCCCCCAAACTTTGGAACTCCTTCCAACAGGAGGACAAGCTGGCTCCAACTTTGTTGTCCTTCTGCAAGTAGGCAAAGATCTTTATGGTTGTTGTGGGTTTTTCTTTTTCTTCTGTCCATCTTCAGAGGACAGAAGATGCCAGGCACAGAGACTGGTGAAATGTTAGGAAGAACAACCTTCAGAACACGGCCAAAGAGCCCGAAAAACCCACAACCATCAGATCCCAGCTGTGAAAGCCTTCGAGAAAAGATCTTTATCTTCAGGCAGACTTTTCCTTAATGACTGCCAGTTGACACTGGAGCAAGACATTGCAACAAGTAAAATGGGCCCAAACTGTGGAAGGTTTTGTATGTAAGAATCAAGAAGTGTTGTACTCTGTTGCTTTGAATCTATGCTTGTTTGCTGTTTTTAATGTGGTATTTGTTTGATCCTCTTTAGTATTAGTATACTTACTGTTTTTAGCTTAAAATATTATCTTTTAATGATGTAAGCTGCTTTGGCTCCTTGTTAGGGAAAAAAGTGGGCTAAAAATATTTTTTTTAAATAATACAAATAAATTATTTTTGCCAAAATCTTGCTGTGCAGCTCTGCCAGTGCAATGGGAATTACATAAGCAGTTCTGTCAGATTGATGCTTATTAAAAACTTTTTTGTTATTGCTTTGGGATATGCACAGCCTGCATGCAATGAGATGAAGTTACATATACCTCAAAACAGAAAAAGGGCAATCTATGGCAATGTGCCACTGGCAAAGACATCATTCTTGCTGCACAGGCAGAACCTGTCTAACAGAATATTGGCAAACAGGATTTCCAGACTCAATGGTCTGGAAAAACAATAAAAAAAAAAAAAAAAAAAAAAAGATTAGAAAATAAACAAGACTGCTAGTCACAAATACCAAGCACCTTTGGAAAAATGGTTGTTATAGGTTTTTCGAGCTGTTTGGCCATGTTCTGAAGGTTTTCCTAACGTTTTGGTCAGCATCTTCAGAGGACAGGAGTTAGAATCCAGAACACAGATTTCTAGCTCCTGTCCTCTGAAGATGCCGGCCATAGAGACTGGCAAAATGTCAGGAAGAACAACCTTCAGAACACGGTCAAACAGCCCAAAAAACCTACAACAACCATCGGATCCTGGCTGTGAAAATCTTTGAGAATACACCTTTGGAAAACATTTTAAAATTGCAGATAGGCTTTGGGGCTATAGTGAAGTTAACAGAGGGCTTCTAATAGCCATTCAAGTTTTCCTATACTTGTTTAGGAAATCTTAACCAAAAATCATATTATCATATAAGGACTCACAGCTGTAATAACATTCCCATCATGTGCTGCAACAGCTTCATCCAGCAACAGCAACTTGTCCTGAAGCGAGTGAAACCTCTCCAGTGAGCAAATCTAGAATGAGATGACATGCATGAAAAGAGGCAATGGATGAACATGAGGCCTGGAGTGTCTCCCCAGAAGCCTGAGGTAGAGCTGACTGCACCAAGTGCAGTTTGCTCTCAGGATGGTTGTACTGGCATAATTAAATTTTCCTGAACCTGAGCCCCCAAGGCAAACAGCAAAGCACACAGTGGCATGCCCATGAGTTCCTGCTTTGAGTGGCCGCATAGTGGGATAGAGCCACCACTGACGATTGCTGCAACCGCTTTTAGAAAAATTGGAACTAAAGAATTCTGACCCAACCATGAGATGCAAGAGCTTAATTCACCAACCAACAGATCCAGTAGAGCAATATTCTGTTGCTCTCCTTCAATTAGCCTTCGCGAATACATAGATCCACTAGGATTCAGTTCTGTAAACTGACGAAGTGAAACTGGTGAGCTGGACAGCTTATAGTCTGGTGGGTCCCCTCCTCAGTAAGCCATGGAGGGCAATGTGTAGCCCCATTATTCTCCTCATATCCCCCCTTTTTTTAACATTGAGGGGATCAAAACGCTCCCTGCACCATTTAGGGCATTCTTACCATGTTTTGAGCCCCCCAACAACCACACCTCAATTATTTCTTAAATTCTTATGCTGCTGAGGATTCTTGATATTGTAGTCCAAATACAGTGGTGCCTCGCTTAACGAGTGCCTTGTTTAGCGATGAATTCGCATAACGATGTGTTTTTTTAGAAAATAATATGCACCGTATAACGATGTTTCCTATGGGCGATTTTCGCTTAGCGAAGTTTGGGACCATGCTTCGCATAACGAATACGATTTTAGGTCCCCTGCTTCACTTAACGATGTTTCTTTTTTCAATTTAAAAAGTGTCTTAGAAGGGTCAAAAACGGTTCTAAATGCTTGGAATCGTTAGAGGACCCCCTAAGTCGTGTGCAAACCTGATTTGGCTTTGATCTGACTTTTCGTTAATTTATGGTGAATTTTTTTTTAGCCCATAGGAACCAATGGAGCTGTCAAAATCTGACAGCTCCATTGGTTCCTATGGGCCGAAAAAAAATTCACCATAAATTAACGAAAAGTCAGATCAAAGCCAAATTAACTTTTGCATCCGTTTTAGAGGGTGCAGAAGCTAATCCAAGCATTTAAAACCATTTTGACCCTTTTATGACACACTTAAATTTGCAAAAATTGACTTCGCAAAGCCATTGAAATGCATTGAGTCAGCTTCAATATATTCCAATGGAGCAAACATTGTATCGTTTAACGATGTTTCCTATGGGATTTTTCGCTTAAGGACGGCAATCCGTGCCTATTGGAACGGATTAACCGGTTTCCAATGCATTCCTATGGGAAATGGTGTTTCACATAACGATGTTTCACATAACGTTTTTTTTTTGAACCAATTAAAATCGTTATGCAAGGCACCACTGTACATTACTTTTCCAAGCCATTGCATGAATGAATATTAATTGCATACAAACAGACATGACATATCAGCTCATCATCAATTTTAGAGCAGCTGTATTTTTCATCATTTCTATATCAATCAAAATTTATGCATTTCTCTCTTCAGATACCAATGGGAGGGGATTAGGGGCTTGCAACCAGATTTGGAGACTCTTCCTTGACACACTGGCTCTAAAAACAGCAGTGAAAGACTATATTATTTCTGGTCATTTGGCTACTGGAATTCAACTGTGGGTGAGAAGCTGCTATTTCTCCTGAAAGGGTGCATGGTCCCTGCCCCTTCTTTCAGATGAGAAAATCAGAGTTTGGGAAGTTGTGACTGTGTTTCCCAGAGGCCATTCTAGCTGACAGGTTCAGAGACCTATTGAGCCAAGATGATCACCATCATCTTAGAACTACAGATTTGGAAGGGGCCCTATGGATCATCAAATCTAGCCCGTCAAGGAGGCGCAGCAGGGCATTGAACTCCCAGCCTCCAGCACCTCAGCCAGATGCCTAAACCACTGAGCTATCCAGCAGTTCTTCCCAAACTCTGCTTCTAACAGAAAACTTGGGACACTTTATTTAATATGCAACACTAGAGAATAGCAGTTGCATGAAGGGCCATCAAAGCAAATAATTAACCCTTCTAGAAACAAAGAGAAAGACCTCTTACCTTGCCTCTCTGCAGTCGTCTTACTGTATCTTTAAGACTCCAATCACTGCTATAATCCTGAAATAAAAACAAACTAAGTAATATAGGTAAAGGTAAAGGTTCCCCTTGACAATTTGCCCAGTCGTGTCCAACTCTAGGGGACTCTCATCTCCGTTTCCAACCATGGAGCTAGCGTTTGTCCGAAGACAATCTTCTGTGATCACGTGGCCAGCGCAACTAGACATGGAACGCCATTACCTTCCCACCATGGTGGTACCTATTTATCTACTCGCATTTTGTATGCTTTCAAACCGCTAGACTGCCGGGAGCTGGGAGTAGTGACGGGAGCTCACTCTGTTGCATGGATTTGATCTTACGACTGCAGGTCTTCTGACCATGCAGCACAGAGGCTTCTGCAGTTTAACCCACAGCGCCACCACATCCCACTTAAGTAATATATAATCTGGTGTGATTTAAAAAAAATACAATTTTCATAAGATTGTATATAAGTAATATACTATCTTATGAAAATTGTATTTTTTTTAATCACGCCAGATTACTCCCATATTCAAAACCTAGTGGGCAATCCTTCAGCCTCCCAAATGATATTCTGTTGCTCTCCTTCAATTAGCCATTTTGGAAAAAGGAAACTTCAGAGAGAGATTAAAGCAGGAGACTGATGTCTATGGGTTCATGAGTATGACAGTGCTGAGTATAAGCCCCAATCTTTTGGTATCCTGTATCTAAGGGCAGACACTTTGAAACTTTTTGCAGCAAATATCTACAAATAATTCTTCGACAAACAAGAGAGGTGTGAGCAGCCATAGTCAGGAGAGGGTTTAATATCCATTTCCAAAGGCCTGCATCCCAAAGCTTTTTCCTCAGACAAAGCTTCCCCAAATTCACCTACCTTATAATCAGCTTTTGGTCTGCGCAGTTCTGGAGCATAATTTTTAAATCCTGTATCTGTTAAAGCTGAAGAAGAAAGGACAATGTTTATTCCTTTGAAATGTTTTGTCCCCTCTCATGCGAGCCATTTTGACCTATTAAGCAACTTACCACAGTTGAAAAGAAAACACCATCAAAATTACAACAGCACAATAACACTCCAGAAACACACATATAAAGAAGGCCAGGAGAAGGCCAAAGGCCTAGAACATAGAAGGAAACCTTTGGCCCTTCATATATTTTGTTTTATAACTACCATAATTCACTGTCATGGAAATCCTGCCTGGAGCTTCCAGGATTTTAAGACAAGAACATCTGGAAAGCCTAGGTTTACTGACTCATAGAATCAAGGAACTGGATAATAAAATCATCTTCTTTCTCATCACAATAAAAAAGCCTATTATCCTGAACTGTGAATGGCCTAGGTCCTTGGGCTACCTGAAGTGGAAGCCAGATGTCCCTTGCTGGTTGCTTGGGCTGTGATTGATTTGTAGCCCTTAATTCCTTTGGGAAAGTATTAAACAAAAAGACTGTGCACAGCCAGCTGCACAGCCAGCTACTATATAACTGGCAGTTGGGCTTTCAAGAAAAAGAGATCCCAGTGGTAAAGGCCTATAGGAAATTAGGGCAATCCAGCAATAATAATAGTTTAAGCAGTATCAGTAAGTGAAGCATAAATTAGGGCAATCCAGCAATAATAATAGTCAAAGCAGTATCAGTAAGGCCATTAGAGTGAAGCATGTGCCTTAGATGGCAGATCCAGAAGAGCAGGGAGGGTCCAGCAGTGTTGCAGCACAGTGAAGTCCAAGAACATCTGGAGGCCCAAGGTTGGGGACCACTGCCTTAGATGGCAGATGCAGAAGAGCAGGGAGGGTCCAGCAGTGAAATGTTGCAGCACAGAGCTATGAGCACCGTGCACCTCATGAATCACTGCTGCCTTCAGGCTGCAGTGCAAGGTGCTGTCCCCTCAGTATGCCTGACATTAAGATTCAGCTGCTGGTTCAGAAGAGCAGGGAGGGTCCAGCAGTGAAAGGTTGGAGCACAGAGCTATGAGCATCGTGCACCTCATGAGTCACTGCTGCCTTCAGTGCAAGGTGCTGTCCCCTCAGCATGCCTGACATTAAGATTCAGCTGCTGGTCTCTTTGGCTCCAATACATGGAGGTGGAAGTATCTCAAGCAACAAAATGACTTGGGTGACTCCTAAATAATTGGTAATACTCAAAGCAGAGAAATAGCAACTCGATCATGCCCTCATCAGTGCAGGCCCAGGACATTTTGCTGCTGAGGCAAATTGACAAGATGGCGCCTCCACTAATATATAAAGAAAACCAGACTCTCAGTTGAACCTTTCTTCTGCGTTGGCACAGTGACACTATCTGCTGCTGAGAGTAGCAGTCTATGTTATGAAGTGCAAGTGGCACCATCAATTCTATCCTTCAGCATCTGTAGGCTGTTACACACCTTCTAGCATGTGCTGCCTGAGGCAGCTGCCTCACTTCCCTCAAAGAAAGGTTAGTTCTGACAATGAGGTGCTGCTGTATTTCCTTAGGGCACTTAAGTTCTGGACAGGGACAAAATGACTGAGCTGGCAATTAGAGACCAGGGAGGAGAAAGTCACAGTGGTCAAGGGGAGAGATTAATAAGAATTTTAGACCTCAGTCCTATATGCAGGGGGCTTAATTCTGAGGCAGACAAGTACAGGACTGCTATGTTGGGTTGAAATTTCCACAACCCTGCACAAGATAAAACCATCTCACTCACACAAACTGAGGACTTACCATCTGAAAGTGACTGAAAACTTCCATGTTTGTTTCTTCCTGAAAGACAACACAGAAGTAGGAGAGGCACAGAGAAACAAAGAGAAATATATTTGCATTTCCTCACATTACAAAACCCACTTAGGGCTATGTGGAAGTATGCCAACAAGTGTGAACTGATGCAAATGTCTATTTCACCTATTTCTTGATATATGATGCCTTCCTCCTGGCATCCTCAAAATATGTCTGACTGTAACAGCCACCATCCCTAGTCAACATGACCAATGACAATGACAACTAAGGATGATGGGAGTTGAAGTAAACCTACTTCTCAAATTCTCCAACTCATTCAGGCAATGCTCTTCTATGGCAATGATTACAGGACTTAAGACATCAAAAGGATGATTGAAATTGAGTTCTCAATAAGCTAATGTTGCATTTGCAGAAGCTGCTCAGTTGTCAGAGACTTAACATTAAAATGTCTCTCCAAATAAATGTATTCAGGATCACAATGTTTGGTGGCATAGAAGCACTAAATGAAAAATCTACATTGCTCACCACAGCATATTGGAAACAGTAGGGAACTAATTCCAGCCTTTGAGCCATCACTTTACACCTGACTCTGTTCAATAGAGCAAAGATGGAGTCTGGCAAAAGAACATCAGCGGATCCCATACTCATGCTATGAAAATTTGAAGGAGCAGAAAAACAGGAAGGCCAAATATGAGATGGATTGATTCCATAAAGGAGTCAACAGCCTCGAGTTTACAAGAGCTGAGAAGGGTTATTGAGGACAGGAAATCTAGAAGTCACTCATAAGTTGAGGCAAATTGATGGCACATAACAACAACAAAAGATATCACAATGTTGAAGCCTAAAATCCCCCGACGAAGACTGAACCTTTGTCACTCACACAGATGGTGAGAAGCTATAGAAAATAAAGCATCCATTTGGTAAGCTGGGCCGTCAAGTTAAAGTTCTAGTTACAGTTCTATCTACTAAACTCTGAAGGACTCCTACCTTTGAAAAAACTGCTTAATGAGTAAGAGGAGGCTTGCTTGGGAAATCCTGAAGAGCCCTTTTGCAGACTGAGGTCTTTGCCCTCAGAGGTATTGCTGTGGCTACTGGAGGCAGTCTCTTTGATGGACCAGGAGATGCCTATGGGGACGGAAAGGAAGAGCCGTCTTAAATTCTCTTAGGAAGTATAAAATCATTAACAATATAGAACAAGAAGATATGTTATTGGTCCTCAATATTAACTGACTAATGTTTCGTGTCTGTTTTTTGTTTGGAATGCTCTCCTTTGGGAGCTTAGATGAATCCCTTCCCTTTTATCCTTCTGCTAACAGTTGAAAATCCACTTCTTCGAGCAGGCTTTTAATTGCCACAACTGAGTTGCTGGGTGCTGGTGTTTAGCTAAGTAAGTTTTGTTTTGGAGGTAGCCAGTGTGGTGTAGTGGACAGAGTGATGGACTAAGACTCTGGAGACCAGGGTTCAAATTCCCACTTGGCCATGGAAACTCACTGGGGGAGCAGAACTGATAAAGCCACTCCTTAAATATCTCACACACTATATCTTGATTTGTCTATGTGTGAGTTATCATGGTTCAAACTGGAATCTGAGTCACGGCAACTGGACTTCTTTCTTGTTAGGTTGAAATGTTTTGCTACTCATCCAATCAACGAGTAGTGAAACCTTTCAACCCAATAAAGTAGTTCAGTTGTTGTGACTCAAATTCCAGATAACCGCACCTGGATGACTGAGAATCTTCACAAATGTCATGGTTCAAACTCCACTTCTTCCAATACAATAAGCTACCAGCCTAAATTTAGTTCCAACTAGAGCAACTGCACTGTATTAATGGAATGGTTTATGTGCTGACTTACCAAGTCCCCATCAGTTAAATGGGTCTGCTTCAGCTGGGGCTAACAATTGGATTTAGTACTTCACTGCGCTCTGCATTTACCTCTTCACTTGTCTCATGAAGAGATAAGTGGGCTTCCATGAAAGGTTTGGAGGGGACACAAGCAGCAAGGTGAAAGATATAAGATATTGCATGCAGCAATGAGACACTTTAAAATTGTGCCTTCCTACCTGATAGGTATACTTAGGACCACAACTCTAGCTAGCATTTTTCCAACTGTAAATGCAAATAAAGATTTAAAGAATGTTATTTTTACATGCACCCCACAAAGTTCATTTCAGGTTCCACTTCACTTACTGCCCACAGGCTCCCCACTCCAAGTGATTTTCTCAAGATCATCATCATCATCCACAATATCTCGGAGGCTGTTCACTGCTCGTTTGGACTCCTTTAGCTATGAAAAGAAGCAAGGCTAGAATGAAGGCAAGCCCTGTTTCACCCCATCAACAAATTTACATTTTCTGACAGCAGATGATTTGATTCTTGTGCACAAATTAAAATAGTCCAGGAGGATGGTCTTTGTTGCCCATATGAAAATATGAAACCCTGGACAGCTATCTACCCCTATCTACCTGATGAGAGTGGGGAAGAAAGTCATAGATCAAATTCATGCCAAGTTCAAAATATGACATCAACATCATTCTTTGACTGAGTTACAACATTCTATTTGACTCCCATTTTTCAACCTTTCAAATGTTTTTTGCAACAATCAGTTTTGAAGCACAACAGAAGATGCAGTAAGAAAGGAGCAAAAGAGCTATTTCTAGTAAGGACTAATGAAGACCATAGAGAGCATTTCCCAATGTCATCTACCAGAACTACAGTACTAGGTCCTCCCAGGCATTGCTCCTCTGGGTGGCCACTCCAAAGGAAGTCAGGAAATCATCTACCAGAAGTAGGGCCTTCTTCATGGTGGCACCAACACTCTGGAACCAACTCCCAGCGGAGCTGCACCTGGTCCCCAAACATTTAAAAGGTGTCTGAAAATGATGCTTTTTAGACGTCACCCTGGCTGATTTTTCAATATTCCTCATGTTCTGCATTTAAACTGCAGATTACACTTCTTTTTTTTGCTATTTTCTTTGTCTTTTATTTTTATTGATTGCTGTGTTTTTACTATTGTAAACTGCCCAGAACAGTGCACTGCACGAATGCGGTACATACATGCATGCATGCATACAAACAGATAACTTTTATACAGCACTGAAGCCTTGAAGCAGCAATAACCATAAACACAAAAAATGACATAGGCAGATTTCTCCTCTCCATAACATTTTACTCAGAGCATGCTACATAATACTTTATCACTTGCTTATACTAAGAACTGTACCTGAAAGAGCTCATCATCTTCATCATCAAATGTAAAGGCCTTACACTTGGAACTGTGCCAATATTCTTCTTCATCAACCTTTGTTCTGTTCATCTGAGAAGAAAAGACACATCCTTTAACCCACACACACATCTTTTCTTTGATGGATTAAGAAACAATGTTCAGTCACCTCTATGAGTGCTGTATACACATCCATGTGCTTCCAGGTGCTTTCACATGGCAAACAAGCATGAACAAGCACCATGCTGGTACCCAGTGGCCATGCATCCTTGCTGGATAAATAAACCACAGTGATTTGTTGTGACTTCTAGGAGCAGATGGCTTACTTTCTCTAGATTTTGTTCCCTTTTGCCAGACAAGAAAAAAAACCTGGGTTTGTTTTTGACTTCTTTCTCTGTTCTCTTGGAGAAGGAATAAAGTAGAGTAAGGAAGCTTGTAAATAATGTAGTAAATCATTGTAGAAACAGGTGAATACATGGTTAGTTCATTTGTGTCCATTGCAAGTGGTAGCAATTGGACCATGTACACCAGCACACTGATCATTCATGACAAACAAGGTTTCCATGGATCCTTCAAGTGACCTATAAATGTCTACTAAGAACCAGTAACCCTCAGATGCTGTTAAACTGTCATTCTCATTAGCCTTACCCAGCTTGGTCAATGGTGAGGCATGATCAGATTAGCAGTTCATCAACATCTGGATGACATAATCCCATAATCTATACCAGCCATTCTCAATCTTTATTCATTCATTCATTCATTCATTCATTCAGGCCACAACCCTTTTAGGAGTTCTTGTCAGGTTCCAGGGCCCCCTGTCAAACAAGGATACAACACAAACGGGTATCTTTCAGAACCTTCTCATATTTTTCAGCCTGTGGCACCTTTCAATTGTGCCAGGGTCCACAGAATGGCTGATCTATAATATAATCAAGCCCTAAGGTACAATCACATTTGTTTCTGCTTCTCAGAACAGACTTGCACCTTGAGAATATATATATTATATTCCAGAACAAGAAAACCTAAGTCACCCAATAAGAAGCACAAAAGTACAGTGATGACAACAGGCTACTGCCTAGGAATAAACTAGTAAGAGGAAAGGGCCACAAAGGAAGGAGATAGAGTACCCAGCCATTGTCAAAAAAATCTCTGCAAAATCCATTTGAATGAATTATCATTCATCTATAACCTACCCTCAGTTGTAACACTTTTTTGTTTCATATGCTTTGAAGGCAGGCCCGTTCCCTCTTGTCAGTCATCTAATCTAGAACAACTACTAGACAGGAATAAATGGTCAACATTGAAAATATATGTTCCCAGGAGAGTAATACAGATGTTAATTCTGTGTCTCTATCCATATAGACTCCATCATTATAGAACATAACAACATGAACTACTTCATCCAAAAGCTCATTCATCAGTTAATTTTCCAAAAAAGGTATGTTACCATATGTCATGAGTGCCATTATTTACATGAAAAAAATCAATTTCTGTACATAAGAATAAATTCGCAGTAATGATGGGTAGCATTTGAAGCAACCAGTGTACATAAAGGATAACTGGAACTAAACCTGGCAAAACCCACAGGACCAAAAAATGCCAGCAGGCAGCCACCTCTCAGGACAGGAATGTGAAGTACTGTATATGTGGCCCTCCTGGGTTTTCTTTTTTTGGACTACAACTCCCACAATTCCTCAACGCTGATTAACCTGGCTAAGACTGATGGGAGTCTGAGTCCAAAACCATGAGCGGGACCACCCATTCCCCAACCAGGTCTTAAGACCCAAGCCCACTGGTGCATAAAATTGACACAGTCACGCGTGTCCACATCCAAACGCTGCGGAGGAACAGGATCTGTCTATTCGTAAGCAAGGAACACGTGAAGAAGTGCCAGTGACGACAGTCATCCCCCTTTCTCCCCGAGGAAGAAGCAAACAGAATCAATATACCGTTGCAAGACCACGACCGCCAGAACTGGGAGATCCCAGCTGGCCAAACCTCCGATCATACAGCTTCCCAATCCATAGCGCCCTTTCTATGGAAGAGCGACGCAGCCGAGTCCCCTGGCTTCCCAACTACTGTCCTAGGCAGGAAGTGAGAGGGCGTTGTCTTCGAAAGGCATCACGGGAATCGTAGTTTTCAAGCTGGATCCCGGCTGTTGATGTGATGTTCCATAGAAACACCCAAGAAGCGACCGATAAGATCATAAAGAAAACCCGGCTTAGTTCTATGAAGGAACATCTTAAAATTAGAGATTGGAACTGCAAATTCCACAAGGCTCGTCAAGTTTAATGCCTCCCTTTACTCTTCCACCCCTTCCTCGCTACATCTTGGCTCACTTCGCTTCCTTCAGTATCGCTGATCAAAAGAGACTAAATACGCAGCACTACAAAAATAAGGAAGCGTGGTGTTACGTAATGTGGTGTGTGTTGGCGGTGAGACTTTAATATGTTAAGAATTTATTTATTTATTTATTTATTTTATTTCTATCCCGCCTATCTGGTCGGTGAAGACCGCTCTAAGAAGTTTAAAAGACTCCACTTCAGCCGGAACCTAGATGTAAAACTAAATACTGTATGGTCGGGGCCACAGAGGTAGTAAAATCTATACCTTCGTTAAATCTATGCACACCATCTGAGGGGGGGGGGTTTGGAAATTTGGAAAACTAACAATTATCACTGTATAGATTTTATTACTCATCGGCTGCCTTTAAGGATCATATTTTGCAAGCCAGCTGACTGTCTTTGGTCGAAAATATGTTTTCGGCCAGAATGGGAAACAGGTGGACCTCCAGATGCTGATGGGACTGCAAGTTACCATTGACAGTGGTGGGCTACCGCTCATAGATCTTGCAGTCTACAGATACAGTAACCGGGGGTGAGTGGGGGGGCTTTGTTCCTGGTCTCTGTTTTGTGCGGTCAGAGTGACGTCACTCGAGCCCTTTGGACCTGTCTCGTGAAAAGCGTCCGTGCTTTGGCTTGGGTGACAGAGAGGGAAAACCAGACGGAGGAGCTACCATCAGCCGAGGTTTGTTTGGGGTCTCGGGTCTTTTACTCGTACCGTCATCATGAAGTTGAGGCGCCAAAACTTTCTCACCGTGATGCTGAGGGGCAAACTTGGTGAAACTGTCTATAAAGATTTAGTGAAAACCAATTACCGTCCCATTACCTGACGAACCCTGTTTGCATGTCTGCAGACTCTTTTCCCCATCCCGCCTGAGGACACCATGCAATCTACCTGACCTTAAAGTCACGTTTCCACTTTTTTTTTTCCTCCGTTGCCCCTGCTGAAAGTTTCCCTGACACCACGCTCTCGAAAGGGGAAATGCTTTTTGTGCCTTTTTGGTTGCCCTAATAAAGGGATCACCTTCATGTGATTTTGGATTTTTTTAAATGCATATCAGTACTTCTGCTTTTATGGAAATCAGCACACTGGCACTTGTACACGTGTATTTGAGCAGGTTTCCTTCTCCAGCTCAAAATTAAAAAGAAACTTCAAGTCCTACTGTGAAGAAAGAGAGACGCCACTATGTAGTATTTACAGTAAATAGACTTAAAAAAAGTGGTTCCCAACCTTAGGTTATCAGATGTTCTGGTGGTGAAGGCTTCTGGGAGTTGTAGTCCAATAACATTTGGGAACATCTGGCGGGCAAGCAGGTGAAGACCTTTCTCTTCAGACAAGCTTTCCCTGCGTGGCTGGCTGCCTGAGTGGGGTCTTTCAATGGATACCTTACTGCTTTAAATGTGTTTTGGTGTTGCTTATGTTTTTTTTTAATATGGTATTTGTTTGATCCTTGTAGTATTTGTATAGTCACCATTGTTAGCTTTAAATACTGTCTTTTAACTATGCGAGCCCTCTTGGGTCCTTTTTAAGGAGGAAGGAAGGAACAAAGGAAATTCTGCAGAGGGAATTTACCCATTGGTTTACAATACGATCCCGCCCCCGTCATTTAACCTGAAGTTGACCTACTAAGATAGATCCCAGCTCAAGTTGACCTACTAAGATAGATCCCAGCTCAGCCCGTGTTCAGCTCTCAATATTACTGAAAAACTGTGTTCTCCAGCAATGTGCTAACAGAAATGATGCATATTAAATATTTTAAATTTTATTTTTAAAAATCCCTTTAACATCACGTTTCCCCACAAAATAATGAGACCGTTGTTTGTTGTTTAGTCATTTAGTCCTGTCTAACTCTTGGTTAGACTCTTGGTGCCATGGACCAGGGCACGTCAGGCCTTTTCGTCTTCCACTGCCTCCCAGAGTTGGGTCAAATTCATGTTGGTAGCTTCAATGACACTGTCCAACCATCATGTCCTCTGTCGTCCCCTACTCCTCTCGCCTTCACAGTTTCTCAACATCAGGGTCTTTTCCAGGGAGTCTTCTCATGAGATGGCCAAAGTATTGGAGCCTCCATTTCAGGATCTGTCCTTCCAGTGAGCACTCAGGGTTGATTTCCTTTAGAACTGATAGGTTTGTTCTCCTTGCAGTCCAGGGGATTCTCAAGAGCCTCCTCCAACACCACAATTCAAAAGCATCAATTCTTTGGTGGTCAGCTTTCTTTATGGTCCAGCCCTCACTTCCATACATCACTACAGGAAAAACCACAGCTTTGACTGTCTGGACTTTGTTGGCAAGGTGATGTCTCTGCTTTTTAAGATGCTGTTGAGGTTTGTCATGACTTTCCTCCCAAGAAGCTGGCGTCTTTTAATTTCGTAGCTGCTGTCACCATCTGCAGTGATCATGGAGCCCAAGAAAGTAAAATCTGTCACTGCCTCCATCTCTTCCCCTTCTATTTGCCAGGACGTGATGGGAGCAGTCAGTGACCATGATCTTAGTTTTTTTGATGTTGAGCTTCAGACCATTTTTTGCACTCTCCTCTTTCACCCTCATTACAAGGTTCTTTAATTCCTCCTCACTTTCTGCCATCAGAGTGGTATCATCTGCACATCTGAGGTTGTTGATATTTCTTCTGGCAATCTTAATCCCGGTTTGGGATTCCTCCAGTCCAGCCTTCTGCATGATGTATTCTGCATATAAATTAAATAAGCCGGGGGACAATATACAGCCTTGTCGTACTCCTTTCCCAATTTTGAACCAATCAGTTGTTCCATATCCAGTTCTAACTGTTGCTTCCTGTCCCACGTACAGTATAGATTTCTTAGGAGATAGATAAGGTGGCCAGACACTCCCATTTCTTTAAGGACTTGCCATAGGACTGCAAGGAGAACAAACCTATCCAATCTAAAGAAAATTAACCCTGGAAAAGACCCTGATGTTGGGAAAGTGTGAAGGCGAGAGGAGAAGGGGATGATAGAGGATGAGATGGTTGGACAGTGTCATTGAAGCTACCAACATGAATTTGACCAAATTCTGGGAGGTAGTGGAAGACAGGAGGGCCTGGCGTGCTCTGGTCCATGGGGTTACGAAGAGTCGGACAAGACTTAACAACTAAACAACATGGTACCACAAGCTCTGTTAAAGTCCCCAAAAAAGTACTGTAATGTTTCTTTAAATAATCTTTTGTGTCAGAAAGGGCATGAAGTTCTGTTTCTCTTGCTACTTTCTGTTTCTGGGTGTATAACATAGTTCTCCCTGTCACAACTATCCATTCTTTTCCAGTACTGTATCTGTTTTTTTAAAAGAGCCTCAAGAACTCGGAAGTTGGGCATTGTGTGAGGATTATATATGTCTGCATGTTGCCTGTATCTGTATATGGTGACGCTACCCAGCCATTTTTGGCCTTTCTTTCACTCAAAGTGCTGGGTGTCGCTCTATCTGTCCCCATCAGGTCTTGCTCTATGGTATCCCTGGGCTCGGAGGGAGGGGCAGGGCCGTGGGTCGGGGGAGGGAAGAGAAACGGAAGGAACCTTTGCCGGTGACGGAAGCCGGGAGGCGGCGTTCGTGCCGGCGCTTCTAGTAGCTTCTAGGCGCGCGCGGAGACGGGCGCTCGGCATCCACGGAGAGAGACGCGGCGGCTGCTTCGGAATCGCCGATGGCCAAGTGGGGAGAAGGAGACCCGCGCTGGATCGTCGAGCAGCGCGCCGATGCGACGAACGTCAATAACTGGCACTGGTGGGTGAGGGTGCCGGGCCCGCGAAGCGAGGGGCTGAGGGGAGAAGCGGGTGCCGCCGAGCGATCTCCCTCGCCAAGGGAGGAACCCCCCCCCTAATCGCCTTCCCCGGCCTCGATCTGGCGGGCGACCGCCGGCCTCTCGCCTTCTCTGGTCCGCGGTCAACCTCGTGTTGTTCACCGGAGGCTGGGCTCTCGCCCTCGCCGGGTGCCGGGCTGTCAGTTCGCCCGTCGTGGGTTAAACGGGACGTGTCTCCTCGGGGAGGAGGGTTGGCGTTGACCGAGAGACGGGGGAGAGGGTGAGAAGCTTAACGGGCTTTGCTCTGTTCCCCTGCCAGTTATTTATTCATTTCCGTGTTAAGAGTTTCTTGGTGAGGATAAAAAGCCAACAGCAGCAGCAGCAGGAACAAAAATACGCAATAGCAATGCGGCTCATTTGTATAAGTGGGTTTGTGAAGTCTCCTTTCTCATAGTGTGCAATTAAGTAACGATCTTCACCTAGGTCGAGTAACTTTTGACTGCCTATAAGGGCTGTTTTTTGTTTTCTAAGTTAGTGACCCTGATGTGTATAGGGTTGGAGAGGTGTACTGTTTTCGTGTTATCCTTCAGAGCCAAAGTACAGCATCTGGGTTAAGCAAGTGAAAGTTCGCTTACCTGCAGGGCAGAGGGAAACACTCCTTTCTTTGGTTTGTATTTGGATGCTACACAAGTCGTTTGCCTTTTAAGAGATTGGTTTTCGTTCTTTTTAATGTGGGTTCCTGTATTTTTAACACACTAATCCGTAGTTTCTGTATTGCTAGGTTGCAGTGTTGGGTTGAGATGCATGCATACTATATACAGTAGTTGCTAGTAGTATAGCAAATACTGTACCATGTTATGGATGCTTTGAAGAGGAAGGGTGGAAAGGAACTTTCTTCTCTCTGGTGTTATTTTAACTTGTCATATTCAGGGGCTATTGGCAGAAGCGTCAGGACTAACAAAAGACAGTGTTTAATACATTGCAATGTTACTGTGGAATTTTATGACCAGATGTTATTTAGTCTTTGGTTTAAAGAAATAGTTACACAGGCCAGCCTGTTCTTTCACAAATTCATGGATTTGACCATCTTTGTTACTAAATAGAACATTCTGGTGCATAGGCAGCATCCCTTTCTGTTAGATGCTGGCATAAGCGAGGGTGACTGTTTCTTTCACATCTTCTTTGTTAGTTTCTCAGGAGCTACTTCTGCAGACACATTAAGAAGCTATATGAATCTCGCCCTGATCTAGGAAGGAAATTCATCTGTTCCAATAGGCAGGAACTGAAAATCCTGAGGACACAAGACTTGCGTAGCACTCATTTTTGATGTATTATTACCACTCTTTTCCAGCAATCACTGCTGTGTACTTAAAGCTGAGTTTTCCATATGGTGGCAAGTATTCATAACCTTGTGTAGCAATCAGTTTTTGATGTATTGTCTCCACAGAAATGTATACCATGTGTAAAGAAACTCAAAAAATGGGAGAGAACCCATGATACCCTTGGTGTACTAGTTTCCCCACACTTCATCCTAAATTTGTGACTAAACTAAAGCAGCAGATTGTAATATGCACAAGATGTCAAGCCACTGTCTGTCAGGTATAAAAATGCCTTTTTGCAATAGTAAAAAGGCTATGCACCCACTGCACCTTTTATGCTAATTTATTGTGATACAATATTTTTTTTGTAGCAGCTGGCTTCTTTCAGGATTAGTATAAATAAAACAGGTCTTTACCAATTTCACTCTGCCCTGAGAGCTTCAGTCCAATCAGTTTTCCTCCTCGTGAAGTTCAGACTGTTCTTCGTTTGTCAACTAGAAACATGATCACCATGCTCATCCTAGAGCAGCTGCTCTTTTCTGAGCTGCAGAGAAACTTTAAAGAAGAGAGGGACAGGCGGGATGGGCTCCTTGCTTTGGGAAATTGCCAGTTAAATTACACTGCATGACACAACCAAGAATCAGAGTCCCTTCCTGTATTTTTCTGAGTATAGTAGTTAAGACCATGGATAACGATGCTAGAGCTCCAGGTTGCTCTTCATTTGGTAGCTGCTGCTTCCCTGCTCCGATCTCAAAGAGAGAAGACAAAAGCAAAAATGGTGACAAAATCAATATTGTGTGAGCCAAGATTTCATTCTGCAGTGGCACACAAGCAGTCAGTTTTCAAGCATAGGTATGCTAAATGCAGCAACGCTTGACCAACTTTGAAACATTGCACCTATCTTTGGCTTAGGAAGGGCATTTCATTTTTAACTTCAGCTGTTTTGCAAAATACCTATTAGGCTAGATTTTCAGAACCAAATCCAGAAGCATTGTAGAGCCCTGCTCTAAAAGCATCAAACTTTTTCTGGACAAAGAAAAAAACGGTGCCTTCCTTTTTTATGCTGGTTAAAATGAGTGTCGCATAATACCTTTGGCTTTATGGTTCCTGACAGCAAGAACTGTTCACGACTGCATTTAGTGTATAGTGGCTGAAATCCACTAGTACATTGCAACTAGAGTCTGCTGATGGAATCAGTGGGGATTTGGTAAGTCAACTCCTCCATAAGTTTCATTGATTCATTGGGCCTGGACCTGTTCTAGTTGTGCCTTGTTACTGAATTTCAGCCAATAAGTAAATGGCAGGTGACATCTACCTATTTAAGGTATAAGAGAGCATTGGTGATTAGTGTAAGTCTGAGACAGCCACTGCCCTCAAGCAGCAGATTTTGCAGTATCAGTGTATTTTTGCCATCCATGGCATGGATCCTCATGAATTTTTATGTATGCTGGTCTCCAAATCATTGCCCATCTCCATTTCCTTGGTTGTGGCACTTTCGTGAGAGATTGGACTGTAAGCTACTTGAAAGGGGCAAATTTTCTCCCCACTTGTACTCTGTAAGGAGCTGTCCATGGAGTGCTCATGGTGTTGATGATGATGAGGCTTGCCAAGTCTCAGAGAATGAGCTACTGTGCCAGGAAATGGCTGGGCTCCCCTAAATATCCAGGCCAGGCAAACAAATGTGAGGAGCCGTGGTGAAAGGGAAGGAGCGAGTCTCATTTATTGTTATGGGGTGGCAGTAGTGTTTGGGTACCCAACTCCAACCCTCTCCAAATGGCACCAGGGCTCACTGGCTTCCTGTGTCTGTCCAACACGACACATAATACACTTGCTTAGGAGCTCAGACAGGGAACCCACAATGCCTAGCTCATTCCCTCACAACATGCATGGAGAAATATTATGTTCCCAATTCCTGTGACATCACAGGGCCCCACACCATGACTTCACAAAGACCCACCCCCAGCATTGGGCCCCAGATATAATGAGGGAATGGGGAAGATAATCCTGTGATAGCCCCTGACAAACAAGACAACACTTCAAAACCATTCCGTAAAAATTCTTTTATTGATTTTGGAAAAGAGGCTAAATGGGTATCCTCAGCAGAGATGAAGGCCTGGTTCAGCTCCAGCAGGACGCCTGGCTTCTCTCCCTCACATTCCCCTGGGGAAGAGGAAGCTTCAGGCCCTGAAAGAGAGAGAAAAACAACTAAGGGATGGGCTCGTCCACTGCTGTCAACCGGCTTCAACCCAGGTGTATTCACCGACCAATGTTCTGGCAACTTCATCCTAAAGTTCCGCCTGCCAACATCCACCGGCTTCCACCAGGAATATCCACCCGTTCATCTCTTCCACTCTGCTTCTGAAGCCAGCCTCCACCAGCTCCCGAATGCTTGGGTCACATTCACGCCCCGGCAACATCCCCACAGAACGCCAGCCAGCCCATTCATAAACACATTGATACACACACAGTCACAAACCAGCCGCTTCCCCCCAACACACACACACCTTCACTCCACCAGCCATTCACACACACACACGGCTTCCATCCACCGATAACCACCAAGCATCCACCAGCTGGTTTCAGGAGGCTGACGTCCCCCAGCTTCATCCACCAACCTCTGCCAGCCTCCACCTTGCGGCCTCAGCCAGCTTCCACAGGGAGATTCCATCAGCTTCTGTCTGCCAACGTCCACCGACTTTCCCCCGGTCCATCGCCGACATCAGTCAGCTTCAAGCCACGGATCTCCGCCAGCCTCAAGCTGTTAACTCGCAAGCCCACTTAGCAAGTTCATCTGCTTT